GAGATTCTGCGCTTCTCACAAGCTCCCAGAGGGAAAGGTGCGTGCGGTCCATGGTAGAGTTCTCTGGCTTGAGGCTTCTGACATTCTATTCCACACACAGACATTCCTGTTCAAACCAGAATGGCTCACACGCTTAGTCCTTCCCTGCAAGTGCCATTAGCTGTGACCTTCGCTTTTCACTTTAAAAATAGAGGCATAGGCTTCTATCGCTGCGTGTGTGCTCCAAGAATATCTAGTGCCGAGCTGTCCCCTGACAGGGTGGAGGAGATAAGCCATGCCCTCTTCATCTTAGACATCTTTCCTTTCTGGATTTAAAGGAACACAGCCATTTTCAGCAACACACACTTTACCCAGCTCATGGTTCATGTTTTTCCTTTAAGTCATTCAGTCTCTTCTGAAGTGACGCCTGAATCTCAAAAGGAAACTCAAGCCTTCAAGGGAAGCAAAGTTCTATAAGAAACACAAGCTGCAATTATGACAAAATCAGTAAAGTTTCCATCTAGTACTTCTGCCCAAAGGACAAACAAGTTGTGAGAATTTCACATAGGCCTGTTACCAAGGATTTGTTAGAATAAACACCTAACATTTCAGTGCTGGCCTTTGCGAGGACTTGAGGAGCTTTGTTTTACGTCACTTAATTCCTATTTTATAACAGTAGAACTCAAGAGAAAGTGAACTTTTAGCCAGAAAACTAATAAAAGCAACTGCCAGAATTCTGTTAAGAATAAATTTAAAAAATGAGGTTGGGGGACTAGTAGAGTCTTCTAGGCAGATGGAGAATGATAGCATAACAATTTAATAAATTAAAGAAAAAGAGCAAAGCTATGTAAAGCTTCAAATACTCTCCACTCTTATATTAGGAAAGTCAGGAGCTAAGTCAAAATGCTTCCCTCTGTAATTGCCAAGAGCTCATTTAGTAACTTGTTATAAAGCCCCTTGCCTTCAGTGATGATGCTGAAGAACCATCACCATTTACTCGGCAGCGCAGCAGAGGTTCTCAGTGAGGGGAGGGGTGCTCCCCTGGGGACATGGGCAATGTCTGAGACAGATCTGATTGTCACAGCCCAAGCGGAGGGTGCTACTGGCAGCCAGTGAGTGGAGAACAGGATGCTGCTCAGCACCCACGACACATAGGACAGCCCCACAACAGAGAGCCACTCGAGCCAATCCGGCAGTGCCGAGGCTCAGAAACCGGCAGGAGAGTCGTTCATCAAAAGACGACACCGGCAGCGTGAATTATAAAATTGAGTTTTTCAAAATTGAGTTTTTACACGATAGTAATCCTAACCGATATGTAGCAAGTGTTGTCGGCAATGAGCCAGTTATGGTCGCTTGAGGGCATGTTATTGTTATGAACTGGCATGCTGCCATGTGTTTCATGATAATTTGTTCCATTAAGGAGGTTAAAAGTGACCCTGTGATCAATGTTGTGGCCTTACGTTCATTATTTACTCCGTGCACTCACCAACTAAGCATCCACTATAGAGTAGGTCTCAGAGGTACAGAGAATAAAAGTAAACTACAATAACAAGAAAAAAATGAGTCACAAATGAAACACATAGTCTCTCGCCTCGAGAAGTCCACAGTCCAAGAGTGGAGGCAACTTAAAAGCCAGGAAAGATACAGACAAAGGTGAGGGATCCAACTCACACAGGGAGTGAGGGACAAAACGTAGTATTTCTTTACAGAATGGTACCCACGTTGAGCCTTGTGGGAGAAGCAGGAGGTGAGTAAGATGGGGACTAGAGTTTGGATGGAAAGAGCTGCCGGGAAAAAGATGGTATCTATATTTCTCAGTAATCGCTATGACAATACCAACAATAATAAAGATGGTATCTATATTTCTCAGGATTTGCTATGACAACACCAACAATAATAAAAATTAAGAAGTAACATTTGTAGCCCTAGCCAGTTTGGCTCAGTGAACTGAGAGGTTCCGGGTTCCATTCCAGTCAAGGTCATATACCTTGGTTGCAGGCCTGATTCCAGCCCCTGGTTGGGGTGCATACAGGAGGCAACTAATCGATGTGTCTCTCTCACACCAATGTTTCTCTCTCTCTGTCTCTCCCCCTCCCTTCCACTCTCTCTAAAAATCAGTGGGAAAATATCCTCCAGGATTAAGAAAAACAAAACAAAACAAAACAAAAGAAGTAACATTTGTGGACCAAAACCTCAGCGCCACTGTTCTAGACTTGCCTCTATTAACTCAGGATATCCTCATAGAAGGCCTGGGAGGCAGCTTTACAATTAGCCTCACTGCACAGAGGAGGGTGCTGAAGCACAGGCGGCTCCAGTGGCCCAGGGTCACATGGCTGCCAACTGGCAGTTGGGATTCAAATGTTCTTAATCTGGCTCTGCTGCCTAAACTCTCACCCACTCCCTTCTACTACGTGAAGACTCAGAAGGTCTGACAACTGTCTCCAACAAGGGCTGGAAGTTAAGAGGCTTAGAGTTAACGGAAGAGGCCTAGGAGGCCTAGTGAGTGGAAGTCACATGGCTGGTAAACCATGCTTTTAGGAAGACCAGATGGGTCAACCTGGTTCCCAGGCCTTGTCTGATCAGGCCCTAACCCCTCTTTACTTTCCTTGGTATAGGCAGTCCTTTCCAGTGCGTTTGGAGCTAGATGGTGTCCTCTTAGTCTTCCCTCCCGCTTCCTGCAAAATTGAAGAGCAGACCCTCTCTATCCTTATTCAAGTGGGTTCCCACACAAGAGCATTCAGAGCTGAGACTAGAACTCTCCCCAAGCCCTGGAAGCCCTTCCGCCCAGCAGGGATGCAGCCTGGCAGGACACCCTGGGAAGAGTGCGTTCCCCAGGGAGCAGACAGGCCACATTTCATACAACTCGCCCAGGACATGGAGAACTATCAGGTGCCAGCAGAGGATCCAGATCATAGCCTCCAGTGCTGCTCCGGCCCCGCCCATCTACTCACTTCATCAGGAGGCTTCTCTGTAGGAAAAATGTTCCAGAGTCAACTTAGCTCCCTGACCCTGAAGATATTTGGTTTCTTCCACTTTAAGAGACTATAATTCTAACCCTCGTGACTAACAGGCAGATGGCACAGAGGCTAAGAGTACCACTCTGGGGCTGAGACTTAGAGCAAGTCATTTAAGCTCTTGGAGCCTCAAGTTTAAGAGTACAGTAACAGTAATATCACAGCTCATTGGGTTGAATGAGGGAATGTAGGTAAATTATTTTGTTATAGATTAGAGACTGGATGCATGAAATTAGTGCAAGAGTATGCTTTCCTTCCCCTGCCCACCAGCACTGGTTTCCCTTTGGCCGCTAGCAGGTACCTGGGACCCAGGCTTCCCTCGAAGCCCCAGCTTCGTCTGGAAGGACATCTGGTCTAATTAGCATATTACGCTTTTATTATTATAGATTATAAAGGAAGAAAAGGGCAATTTGTGGGGGAAAACCTCAGGCTGTGTATGTTTGTAGACATACAGAAAACAGTTGATCATACAGTAAGTTTTTACTGGGCTACAAAGGAAATCTCACATTTTGTACAGTTTTCAAAACAGCTTATTTTTAAAAACATAAGAATAATAAAAATAAACATGGCTATCTTTTATCTTCAAAAATTTTCCCTGCCAACCAACACCTCCCATTTGAGAAGGGAATGAGAAAGGCAAACCCTGAAACTGTCTGAGTGAGTGAGCTCAGACCACAGGGAGGGAAGGTCCTGCCTCCCAGTGAGAAGGAATTCCAGCCTGGCTGCGGGCCTGTCTGAGCAGTGCATCTCTTTGAAAAGCAATGGTTTGTTTTTGTTTTTGTTTTTGTTTTTGTTTTTGTTTTGGAAGGGGGTACTGTTACATTTGCTTGGTCTGTGTCAAGCCATGCCCCATATCTCAAAACAACAACAGAAACCCCTAACTAGATCACCAGATAAAATGCCTCAGTCGCTTCTTGACAAAAAGAAAAAAGGAAGAAATCAAAACAACACATACAACCCTACTTACTATTTTGTTTTTTAAAGTAATTTTAGTGTTCTGGGAAATAAGCCTCAAGCATCAAGGCGGGCAGCTCCACCCAGCTGATGTTTAATGGTAACGTGGCCGCTGACTCAGCCAGCGGGCAACCTCCCCCACACCAGCCGCTCTGAGTGCATCTCCTCCGGCAGCGCGTGGGGACCAGGTCCCTGTCCCCAACCCACCAGCGAGCGATAGCTCCGCGTCGGGGTGACGCTCTGAGCCACCCCCAGAGATGCGGGCTCCCCTGTGCTTGGACCCACGGCTTCGGCACGCCGCGCTGCCCAGGGCCAGCTCCCCCCCCTCCCCCCCGCTTCCCCCCCTCATCTTGGCACAGAGGGTGCCCCTGAGTGAGTCAGAGCGCAGCGAGCGGCCGACAGCCCACAGCCGCGCCCGGACCCCCTCCCCAGGCCGGCGTCTCCCTCCGCTCCCGCCAGCAGCTCCGCTCCGCCGCCCGGGACCCCGCACAGGGCGACCCCGCGGAAAGGGGGGTTCCAGCCGCCCCCGTGTGCATGTGAAACCCTGTGTGACACGTGTGCATGTATGATACCATGCGTGACACGAACACTTCTAGCGGCTCCAGCGTGTGCATGGGTGACACCGTGTGTGACACGGGCTCCGGGAACGGGGGCTGGACAGGCCGCGGCTGGCAGTGGAGCCCGAAAGGGGGCCGCGCCCGGACCCCAAGGATAGGACCCCATTCCCGGAGGCGGGGAGGTCGGCCGTCACCCCGCGCTGGGCGATGCGACCCCGGGGAGCACCCGCGCCCCGCGCCCCGCGCCCCGCGCCCCGCCGCCGGAGCAGAGCGCAGGCGCGGCAGCGCGGACGCCGTGGCCCCAATGCCCTTCCTGCACCTGCCCCGGGCCGGCCCGCCGTCAGGCTCACCCTCCCCGCCCTCCGGTCCTTCAAAGGCCGGGCGCTGCGCTCTCCGGAGCGGGAGAGGGGCCCTGGCTCTGCCGGCCCGCAGCGTCTCCGCCGCCCCCCGCCGCCCGGCCCCGCCGCCCGCCGCCCGCGGCCCGCGGCCCACTCACCCCACCACGGAGACCATCATGGCGGCCAGCACCAGGTAGTTGGTCTGGTAGTAGAGCAGGTTGCTCACCACGCGGTTGTTCCATTTGGAAATGTCCCTGAAGTCCGGCCGCGCGAAGCGGTCGGAGCCGGGGAAGAAGTCGTCCCAGGCCCGGAGCGGGGCGAGGTTCACGTCCATGTCTGCGGGCCGGCTCCGCGCCCTGGAAGCCGGGGCGGCGGCGGCGGCTCTGCGGTGGGCGGCGGCGGAGCCGGAGCCGGAGGCGGGAGGGCGTTTTCCGCCCTCACTTCCTGGTGGCTCGGCTCTGCTCTGCTCTGCTCTGCTCTGCTCTGCTCCGCCTGCGGCAGAGCCGGGGCAGAGGTCCAGGGAGAGATGGGATGACCGACAGGGACCGGCGGACACTAACTCAAACACCTCCCCTGGAGGGCCGGGCGCGGCTCCTTTAAAACACGCTGGGCGTGTGCAGGAATGCGTGGCCTTCGGGAGGTTTCTGCAGCTGTCCTCGCGCCAGCCCAAGCGAAACGGAATGGAGGCGTCTGTAGTGTCACTGGAGGAGGAGCCGGTTTTGGAAAATTAAGTCCTTACTAACTTCTGCACATCTGAATGGGATGATCGTGTTTTCTCACGAGACCCTATAAGAGAAATCAGACTGGCAGAATCGGGAAGAAGACTGTAGGACAGAAGGGTTGGTTTGTTCACTTCTTGTCTTTGTTCTCCATGTCTATTCCCTCCGGGCAAAACTTTCCCACGACCGTGCCGTTCTGATCAAATGGGCACTCTGGGCACGCCAGCCCGATCTGGGCACGCTGTCTGCTTCCAAAGCAAACAATGGTTTGCAGTGAACTCTGGTTCTGCACTCAGCACTTACTGGACAGACACATGGATTCCTCTCAAAAAGACCTTTCTTAGTTTGATCCTGATATTTGGGGACAGCTTTCACTAAGGGAGCACAGTGCTTCTGAAGCTGGACGTAACCCGTCCAAGGCCACCTGTCACTCCTCGAGCCAAATTAAGCTGAGACCGGCTTGAATCATGTATGAGTGTTTATTCCAATAATGCTGGCAGCATGGTAGAGCAGCAGGTCATCCTAGAAATTCTGCTCTAACCTCTCCTACTAATTCTCTAAAACCCAGCTCAGCCCGTTGGCATTCCTGAGGCAAACTCCCCGAGAGGGTCAGGGATTCAGGCACAGCAACCAAATCAAAGCTTGTGCTGTTCTTTGTTCTCAAAATCTATTTTATTTTCTGAGTCAAGGACTCACTGGGCTTAGAGGAGTCTCCTATCTCTTTAAAGCCCCGTTTTTCCCCTGGCGGAATGTCCTCCAGATTCCCAGGGTCCGTAAGAAAACCTCTTATCTATAGGTAGCAAGGTGAGTAATTGTAAACACCTGTGGTCCTATTCTTATTCCATGCCCTCTCCCTATCACTTTAATAGATAATGGTAGTTTTGTATCCACGCCCAAACAATTTAGTTGCACATTCCCTGCTACAGCTTCCAAAGGGTTTTCCCTTCTACCCCCTCCCCCCGCCCCCCAGTTAAGGGGCTGGTTGATATAGTAAACCTCCTTTTATCTCAAATGCAAGAGGAAAAGTATTTTAGTTTACTTCATAGTGTGGAAGGGAAAATTCTAAGATGCTAGTGTATAGAATAAGGATAGCAACTATGCCACCATTTTTTTAAAAAAGTCAGAAAACAATAAAATATACCTAAAGCAAAGTCTAGAAGATATAATTTGATTTTCCTTGATGATTTACAAGGCAATTAAGGAACCTACAATGACTAAAGAAATACTCCAGCCCGACCAGTGTGGCTCAGTGGTTGAGCATCGACCACTGGTCACAGGTTTGATTCTTGTTCAGAGCACATACCCAGGTTTCAGGCTCGATCCCCAATGAGGGACATGCAGAAGACAGGCGATCAATGATTCTCTCTCATCATTGATGTCTTTATCTATCCCTTCCTCCCTCCCCCTCTAAAATCAATAAAAATGTTATTTAAAAAATAAAAGAAAATACTGCTGTCATTGGTGTTGAATAAAGTTTAAAATGTGAAAATACTGCCGATATTGGTTTGGCTCAGTGGATAGAGCATCGGCCTGCGGACTGAAAGGTCCCGGGTTCGATTCCGATCAAGGGCATGTATCTTGGTTGCGGGCACATCCCCAGTGGGGGGGGTGCAAGAGGCAGCTGGTCGATGTTTCTCTCTCATAGACGTTTCTGACTCTCTGTCCCTCTCAATTCCTCTCTGTGTAAAATCAATAAAATATATTTTAAAAAAATAAAATGTGAAAATACTAGTATTCCTGAGCTCTCACATTTTCTTGATTCTAGAAAAATGGGAAGATTTAAAATTAGAACAAAATTAGTCCCAACTCCTCCATTTGTTGCTGGTGACTTTGAGAAATTACTTAGTTTCATTCAGCCTGTTTCTTCATGTGTAAAGTGGCTATAGTAAGAACATCTGCCATGAAACTGAGTTAGAGTGAATGGGAAGTGCTTAGTGTATAGTGTAGAGTAATTGCTCACAGTTAGATATTACTGTTATTGTTATTAATAACACAGCCCATGATTCATTTGGTATCATGGTATTAATAGTGCTTTAACCTAATTTGTTTTCTATGATTTCATAATGAACATCCACTGACTGCTCTATTTTGTTGCAACTTTATTGTAGTTGTAGCTGGGTAGACCTGGTAGGGTATAAGAGGTTGAAAATTTTTAGTGTGATGTCAAAGATATTTTGTATCCTGTCAAGGCCCCATGAAAACATTCTGAAAGACAAACAAGTTGAGAAGAATGCAGCCTTTCCCCGCCTTCAAGAACCTTGCAATGTAGTGACCACACTAACTTAAACACCAAAGAGTGAGAGGAATACTATCTGGAGATGAGCCAGGCCTTGGTGCTGAGTTACAGGAAGGCAGAGGGTGTGGGAGAGTTCCCTGGGGTTCACAAATGTCAGGCAGCTGCACTGTGGGTAAACAATAAATGATCTTGGTCAAGACCAACATAGGGGCCCCAGTAGGGCCCACATTTGTTGGACTGTGATCAAGAACTGTTACCTTTCAATTGCTCAGTATCGCATAACCGCAAGCCATCAGTGTATGTTAGTAATAATTTGATTACTCATTGATCATAAGTAATTAATATTCAATAAACATTTATTAAGTGTAATTTTATTTATTTGTCCAAATACCCAAAGAGGTTTAAAAATAAAAGAGCTCTGGCCAGTGTGGCTCAATCATGGAAAGGCCGCTGGTTCAATTCCTGGTCAGGACACATACCCAGGTTGCAGGTTTGATCCCCAGTTAGAGTGAGTGTAGGAGGCAACTGATGGATGTTTCTCTTTCACATCGAAGTTTCTTTCTCTCACTCTCTCTCTCTCCTCCCTCTCCTTTCCTCTCTCTCTAAAAAAAATCAAAAAAGACATTTTTAAAATAATGTCAAAATAACAAAAGATGGGGGGGAAAGCCAGGTACAGTGGTACAGAGCATGAACTGCTTCTCCCTCTCCCAAATGTTATATATGCTTCTCTTTCTAGTTGGATAATAATTACAAAGCCCACTGGAGTATCAGTGAAGACCGCCTCGCCGCCCTGCCCACCCCGCCCTCCAGCCCAGCCAACCCGGCTCTCCGGCCCCCACGCACTGCCCGCCTCTGCCACAGGCCCCGCCCCCACACTGCCCGCCTCTGCCTACAGGCTCCGCCCTCTGATCCCACCAACCACGCCCTCCGGCCTCCGCCCCCACGCATTGCCCGCCTCTGCCACAGGCCCCGCCCCCACACACTGCCCGCCTCTGCCACAGGCCCCGCCCCCACACGCTGCCCGCCTTTGCCCACAGGCCCCGCCCTCCATCCCCTCTGATCCCACCAACCACGCCCTCCGGCCGCCGCCCCCACGCACTGCCTGCCTCTGCTCACAGGCTCCGCCCCCACGCATTGCCCGCCTCTGCCCACAGGCCCCGCCCCCACGCATTGCCCGCCTATCAGACAGGCCCCGGCCCGGCCCCGCCCCCGCGCCCGGCCCCGCCCGCCGTGGGAGCACCTGGGAAGAGGCGGAGAACAATATGGCGGATGGCGAGGAGCCGTAAGTACCGGGCATTTCGGGCACCGGCCAGGCTGGGTTGTGACCGAGCGCGGCGGTGGGCGGTCGCCGCCGCCACCCGGGGTCCCCCCACCTCCCGCTCCGTCTCCTCGCCCCCCGTCCTCTCGCGGCGCCCAGTGTGTAGCGTGATGCTGACCCTTCTTTTATTCTCTCTTTCTTTTAGGGAGAAGAAAAGAAGGAGAATAGAGGAGCTGCTGGCTGAGAAGTTAGTGCTGCCGGGAGGCCGGGGCCCTCTCCGGGGACCCCCGCCTCCCCTCTCCCCAGGCCTAGGGGACCAGCCGCAGCGGGCCCGGGGGGCTGGGAGCGGGGCACCGGAGCACAGGCCGCGCGGTCTCGGTCCCCGCCCGGGCCCGGCCGGTGCTGGACCGCGGGTCTGGGGACCCCAGGCGCCCCCCTTCCAGCGCCCCGCGGTCAGAGACGTGACTTGGGAAAGGGGCTCTCACTTGCACACGAAACGAATGCTGGCCGTTCGCAAACACGGAGCCAGGCTTAATTGCAGACTTTGAGAACTTTCTGTGGTATCGGACCAAGCACTCGGGTCATTTTTGCAGAATAATTGGCTCCTAGAGGAGAGTTGGCTCCAAAGAACTTATTTAGCCCGTTTACCCCGCCCTGCCGCTGTCGGGCGCCGAGCTCGGCCGCTGAGCAGGTGTCAACAGTGCCCGCCGCCCGCCCGCGCCTCGCTGCTCCCGGCGGGGCGGTGGGTGTGGCCACCCAGTCACCCGGCCGGTTTCCACGGCGGAACCCTTGGCTTGGGGTGTCGCCTCCAGGTGGAACTGCATTTGCAAGGGATAGGCCTGGCGAGCTTCTTTCCACACTTCTTCCCGCCTTTCCTTCCCACTTTTGCTTAAGATGATAAAGTTTGCATCCTTAACACTGTTATATGCCAATTATTGTACTAAGGCCTTTTATGTGGATTACCTCATCCTTACCCTAAGTAGCTAGAAAAATCTGTAGATGAGTTTTATGGCTGTTAAATAATCTACTCAAGGTCACAGTGCTATTAATTATGGAACCAAATGAGCTGGAATACCAAAACCCAAGGTCTTTATTGCCAGGCCATAGTTATTGGTCCTTTTTGTAAAAATTGGATATTAATAATGTATTTGAATGCAGAAGTTGTGAAGTTGTAGGAAATTAGAAAACTAAAAATCATTACAAAGTAGATAGATAGAGGAGTCCAGTCTTAGAACACATTCAGTTGTGTGATATAAAAGATTTCAACTGCTTATATGTGACATAATTGTAACCTAAAACTTTTTGTGTTCAGTGGCAACAAAAACCATCTCATAGTTTTTAAAAATATTCTTTTTTGAAAATTGGGACCTCTGTTTCAGATAAAAATGCGTGAAAAATTCCTTTCATCAAAGATCTTTAAATCACATCTTTCAAACTTGGAAAGGACACAGGAGCTAGATGTGAATCATCACAATTCTGAAAGTGGAGTTACATATTTATTTTCCTCTTATAACATATTTCCTGACCCAGGTGTGTTGAAGGAACAGATTGGGGAAGTTTGCAATGATCTTTTATAAATTTCAAATGTATAAAAGCCCATTTCTCACTGATTAAACAGTATCCTAAGTTTGATTTTGGCTTGCTTTAGGAACCCAGAAACAGGTAGACTGATATATTTAATCAAACACATGCAGTTCTTACCTTTAAATAATTTATAATAGCCAAGAAAAAGTTTAAAAGCTTAAGCATAATCACATTAAATAATTCCTTTTGTATTTGGCCAGGTGTGGTGCTGCCTTTTCTTTTGGGGAAGCCATAGCAGTTGTAGGTGCGGTTTTCTTTCATATTGACGTGTGCAGCTGAATTTACTGTGTTCTGTGCAGAATGGCTGTTGATGGTGGGTGTGGGGACACTGGAGACTGGGACGGTCGCTGGAACCATGTAAAGAAGTTCCTCGAGCGATCTGGACCTTTCACACACCCTGATTTCGAACCCAGCACTGAAGTGAGAAACATTTATTTTTATTTTTAAATAACTCCTCTAATAGTTTTATTTAAAAAATAAGATGCTTTTCTTTTTCACTTGCTCTCATAGTAAAAATACTAATAAAATTGTGTAAGTTATCTTGAAATACTAAGTTGAATACTTGCAACTGGTTTTATTTAAATGGCTAATATTTAAGTCATTTTTACATTTTTTATATAATATGTTGACTTATTTTTAGTAAAAAACTTTATAATCTCATTTAAAATTCTAACTTAAATTTTACTTTAAATTTTATCTAGTTTAAAATGATTTCTGAGAAACTCCCTTTTTAGTTTTGCTCTTAGAAGTTACTTTTGATAGGAAGATATGTATGCTTGTTTAAATTTTAGAATTTAATTCAACTGAGCTTCTTTACTTAGTATTGAGTAAAACTAATTACATGTTAAAAATTATATGAGTTCTGTGAAATAAGAATGGAATTTTGGACAGATAGTATCTTGACTTAAAGCAGATGTTCAATTAGATAAGACTTTTTTAATTACAAAGTAGAAAAAGTTGCCTTTTTAGTAAACTTTTATGTCATTTTGTATGTGTAAAGGGGATACTGTTTTGAATTAAAAATATTGTGCTCCTCCTAGAATTAAGGTACAAACTCTTGGATTTGACCAGTGTCTCATCTGAATTACTTTTCTCTCCTTTAGTCTTTGGGCAGAATTGACAGTGTTTTGCCTTTTGTTGGATATATCTTTCCGGTGCTTTTGAATTTTATTTTATTTTTTTGCCTGATTATTTAAGATACTTTCGTTAAGTGATTGTTTCAAATTGTATTTCTGTTAATATACAACTTTCTAAGAATTTTATGTTTTTTTTTCTTCCTGGAGACCTTTAAACACCTTGTGCAGTGTTTGATCCCCAGTTCTTAAGATTTTTATACTTTTCTCTTTTTAGGAAGCCAGTTAAATAATGAATTTTATGCTTTTCATCACCTTTCAAGATGAAAAATAAAAGATAACCTTTAACTAGCCATAGTTTTTCTTTTTTCTTTTCTTTTTATTATTATGTAATATGTTTTTATTGATTTCAGAGAAGAAGGAAGAGAGAGATTGAAACATCAGTGATGAGAGAGAATCATTGACTGGCTGCCTCCTGTATGCTGCCTACTGGGGATCAAGCCTGCAACCTGGGCAGGTGTCCTTGACTGGAATCGAACCTGGGACTCATCAGTTCCCATGCTGATGCACTATCCCCTGAGCCAAACTGGCTAGGGCCATAGTTTTTCTTTTTAGAAATAACCTTTAATTTCATACAGTAAAAATCAATGTAAACACATTGAAATTGAAATGCTCTGAAATCATTAGGGTTATAGAATTTCAGATTCTACCTTGTTCATAAATTTAAAAGTTTATTAAATAGAAAGTCTGCTCTTGATCTTCATTTGCATTTTTCATAGGAACATCAGAAATTATGGCTTATTGTATTAGCTTATGTTTTTTATAACTAGGTTTTAATATGCCTTTTCATTCTTTACAGTCTCTCCAGTTTTTGTTAGATACATGTAAAGTTCTAGTCATTGGAGCTGGCGGCTTAGGATGTGAGCTCCTGAAAAATCTGGTAATATATATGTAAATACGTGTGTATATATACATGCATTTGTATATAATGTGTGTGTTTTCTCCTTTGTGGTAATTTTCCTTTTCTGTCATACTAGGAAATTTCTTTATTATGATTATTAACCTCTGTCTTGAACTTTGTTAGATAAGTTTAGCAAGTCAGCTTCCAGACACTCTTAATTATAAAGTGCTCAACATAAACTCATTGATAGACATTCTTGTTTTCTTCTCTGCTCTTTATCAAAGAAATCTCTGTGCATCCTCTTGCAAAGCACTCATAATTTTAAAATGCAATTTGCAAGTATTGATTATTTCTTTTTCTCCTTAAGATAACCCACCTGGAGAGGGCATTGGCTCATGTTATATTCTAGTAGATGGAGATGTGGTTCTGAGAGGTGATATGGCTTACCTCGCTGTTTGGATGACAGTGATGGGCCGGGAATCTAACCCAGATGATCAGTTCTTAGATGTTGACTGAACCATGTTAATTTGTTTTTAACAACTATCATTTTAAGAGGGTACTATTTAGTGAAGCTATTTGTATACTGGTTTGAAATCCATAATTTGTGATTTAATTAGTTTCATTGACTTCTGATAACCACAAAGTAGCTTTTTTTATTTTTGACAAGTATCAGTTTATTTAACAAAGATGGGTAGTAGGAGAACTGATTGAGAGCTGATATATACCAGGCTTCTACTGATGTGTAGAAAAGTGGAAATGCTAGAGTACACTCCTTAGAAAATGGAGTAAAAGAACCAGATAAAAAGTCAGCCATGTTGCTAAAGTTTAAATATAAACAGCCATGTTAATTTTGCTAGGAAGCACTAACATCACTCCTAGTGAAACTGCAAAAACTTAATACACTTCGTGGTACTTAGTGCTGTGCTGGTTCTGTGGGGATTGTAGATCATCATGGTGTCTGTCCTTAATGAATATGAAGTTTCATTGGGGAGACAACTCACACAAAATAAATAGCAATATGTATGATGTACTCTGTGGGGTACCCAAATGTCAGTACCTTACCAGAGTTCTAGAAGGGAAGGGTGGGTAGTGGTTCTGATAGGCATAGCATGCACATATTTCCTAGTGCTTAACCTTTTCCATTTTAAAGCTGTTATTTGCAAAGGAGATATATAATCATTTTAAATGTAAGGTAATTGGAGATTAGATCTGAAGAGTAGTCCTCAAGCAGCTTTAGGTGGCCATGTTACTTATTGCATTGTAATACACTCTTACACAAAAGAAGAAAATAGGGTTTTTAATTTTACCTCTTGTTATTTTGCTTATTTCAGTACATAAGATATACATATCTTTTTATAAATTGTAAGCCCCCCAATGCTCATTGTTAAAAAAATGAGTATGACAATATTATTATTATTTAATTGATATTTAGAGAGGAAGGGGGACAGAGAGAGAAACATCTATGTAAGAGTGAAACATCAGTCTGTTGCCTCTTGCATGCCACCTACTGGGATCAAGCCCACAAACCAGGCATGTATAGCATTGAACAATATAGACAGGTATTTGTGGGGCTTACATTTTAGTGGAAGGAAAAAGATAAGTAAAATATAGTATGTCAGATGATAATAAATGTTTTGGGCAAGGAAAGATGAAATATAGGTAGCCTGGTCGAAAGGGAGTGGGCTCATGAGGTACAATTTGAGCAAAGAGGTGAGCAAGGACGTTCTAGACTAGAGGGAACAGCAGGTGCAATAGCTGTGAAATGGGAGCATGATGGTCCTGTTCAAGGATAGCAAGGAGGTCCTTACAGCTACAGCAGAAGTAGGTAAGGGAAGTATTTTTGGAGGGGATATCAGAGGCAATGGGAGATGGCGATGTTTGAAATTAATACCACAAAAGGCATTGGAGGTCACTGAAAGAACTTAGCCTTTTTCTCTGGGTCAGAATGTCTGGGGAGAGGTTTAGGTAGATGAGTTGACAGGATCTGACTTGTAACCAGGGCCACTATAGCTGATGTGTTTAGAAAAGCTGCAGGAAGAACAGAGGAGGAGGCTGAGGGCTGGGTGAAGGTTGTTGCCGTCAGCTAGGCCAGAGATGACTGACGTAGGACAGGGTGGAAGTGTTGGGGTTTGAGAGGCAGGCAGAAGATAAAGTAAACAGGATTTGCTACTGGTTTGGTTGTGGGACAGGAGAGAAAGAGGAGTCAAAGATGACAACAGGGTTTTGCCCTGAGCAACTGGAAAGATGGACTTAGCATTCACTGACATGAGGCTGGAGAAGGACAGATTTGGTGGGGTTGGTGAAAAAGACGGTTGAGTTTGATTTTGGAAACTGTTAGGTTGAGATGTCTGTTGGATATGCTTAGAAGATTGTCTGGGAGAAAAAAAGATTGTCCGAGATCACCAGAACTAAGCACAAAGGCTCTCAAGAATCTAGCCAGTAAAGCAGGAGGAAAACTGAATGTGGGTAAGTACAAATCCTCATACGTGTAGGGACCAAGTGAGGAATGTGTTCTTAGGAATTGATCCACACAGTGTCAAATACTAGTACTTCAGACAGGTCAGGTCCGTGGAGGTGGCAACACTGGTGACCTAGACAAGTGCTGTTTTCAGTGGAGCGGTGAGAAGGGACGTTTGTTTAGAGCAGGCGTGGCCTGATAAGGCCCACGAAGTCTTTTAGTCTGCTCCTGCCAAGGCACTAGGGATGAGTTAATTACATGTTTGACCAAATATAGCAGGATAGTTTTTAAAAATACATATATTTTTATTGATTTCAGAGAGAAAGGGAAAGGGAGAGAGAAATATCAATGATGAGAGAGAATCATTGACTAGCGCCTCCTGCATGCCCCACACTGGGGATTGAGCCTGCAACCTGGGCATGTACCCAGACCAGGAATTGAACTGTGACCTCCTGGTTCACAGGTTGATACTCAACCACTGAGCTCCACTGGCTGGCTAGCAGGCTGATTAAGTGGATAATTTTGTATGGCCCATACATGATGCTGTAAATATCCACACGGCCCTTGGGAGAAAAATGGTTCCCCACCCCTGGTTAGAGCACCAGAGAGAGTTTGAGAAAGCAAGTATAGACTTGCTTGGTTGTAGACTAAAACAACTCTTTGGAGGATTTCTTGTTACTGTAGGGGCAGAAAAAGTGGGAAAATTATTAACAAGTGATTTAATTTGGTCACTTACACTGACCAAGACCAGAAAAGTATAACTAATTAATGAAACTTATAATTTTTTACCCCATATTTTGCTTCTGGTAAATTTGAGCAGTGGTTGTATTGTTAGAATGCAGGACATGATCACTGACACATAAAAGTTTTTTTCTAGCTGTTTTGATTGCTTTTTTTTTTTTTTTTTAAATATATTTTATTGTTTTTTTTTACAGAGAAGGGAGAGAGATAGAGAGCTAGAAACGTCGATGAGAAAGAAACATCGACCAGTTGCCTTTTGCACACCCCCTACCGGGGATATGCCCACAACCAGTGTACATGCCCTTGACCAGAATTGAACCTGGGACCTTTCAGGCCGCAGACGATGCTCTGCCACTGAGCCAAACCGGTTTTGGCTGATTGCTTATTTTTAAAAAAATACGTTTTTATTGATTTCAGAGAGGAAGGGAGAAGGATAGAGAAATAGAAACATCAATGATGAGAGAGAATCATTGATTGGCTGACTCCTGCACGCCCCCTACTGGGGATTGAACCTGCAATCTAGGCATGTGCCCTTGGCTGGAATTAAACCTGGGGCTCTTCAGTCCGCAGGCCAGCACTCTAGCCACTGAGCTAAACGAGCTAGGGCTGATTGCTTATTCTTGACTCAGTACTTTTGTTGTTATTAATCCTCGCCCAAGGATTTTTTTTCATTGAATTTTAGAGAGAGAGGAGGAAGGGAGAGACTGCGGGGTAAGGAGAGAGAGCGAGAACAAGAGTGAGAGCAAGAGAGAGAGAGAGAGAGAGAGAGAGAGAAACATTGATTGATTGCCTCCCACACCCGAGCAGGGCAGGAGATCAAACCCTGCAATTCAGGTACATGTCCTTGATCAGGAATAGAGCCCAAGATCCTTTGGTGTTCAGGCTGACACTCTAATCCTGGAACCACAATGGTCAGGACTTGACTCAATACTTTTCAGCTTTTTCTTTTACATGTGCTGTGTGTGTGTGTGTGTGTGTGTGTGTGTGTGTGTAACATATGTACCTTATAATAGGTATTTCTGAATGGTACATGCTTAATGTTATATAAACTAAGATAAAGCTTGTATGAATTGCTTATAATAATATTCTGAAAAAAGACTACTAAATGCAATTATTTAGTGAGATTAGTAAAATTAAAGTATCCAGCAGTAGCAAAGCAATAAACTTTACAGATGTATTTATAAGATTATAAAACAACTGTAGAAATTTTGAATTGTTCTTTTTTGGTTATAGACTAAAACTGAGTATTTACACATTTTGACCTCTCCAGGGACATAAATATTACATATGCTTCACAAGTCCCTTTAACAATTGAATAAGATTATGCAGAATTTATTATTGAGAATTTGTAGATTTAGGACTACATTGAAAATAAATGTCAATTTTTGCGAATGTGAGGGAATTTCTACTTAATTGGATTTCTTTATTTCCACAGGCTTTGTCTGGTTTTAGACAGATTCATGTTATAGACATGGACACTATAGATGTTTCCAATTTAAATAGGCAGTTTTTATTTAGGTAAGTTTTAATATCCTAACAGAAATTTCCAACAGGTTTATGTGCTTTGGGGTTGATTGTGCTCTGAAGACACAAAGTTCAGCCTCCTCCCACTGGTGATTTCACAAGAGAACAGCAGCTGGAATATTAGGCTCTAGTGAGATACATGGGTGGGGACATGGGAGCCAAGATCTGAGTGGTGACTCAGGGACAATGAAGTTGTGATGGAATTTGAGGGGGAAGGAGATGAAGAATAAAGTGGAAAAAACCAGGAGCAATTGAAATGGAAGAAAGGGATAATTAATTACCTTAGACATATATGAAAGACAAAGTCCTCTAGGAATGGTTTGTTAGAGAGACTTTTGAAAACTGGAAGTGGCATACATATGTAGTTCCAAGGAAAAGTTCATTAATTTTAGTATGTAACATATAGGGGTTTGAGTGGCTAGATAAAAGTGTCTGTTAATTAAAGAATTACAGATGTGGAGAGATAATGAGCTACTTTTCTTTTTCTAGTTATTAGATTACTGACAGTAAGCAATTAGTTTGTCCTGGATTTGAAAGGTGAGGTTAGGTTAGCAGAAAAGATAAGAGATTTAGGATAGTATAAAACCTCTAACTTACCTTTGTGGAAGTTCTTAAAGAGATTGAAGAATGGGTTAAACTAAGTCAAGTTATTGAAATGTTACAATGTGAACTCTTCATTTAACTTTTATTTATTTCTTTATATTGTAACCCTTCTCTATAGAAAAGTTTTGGTGTCCTTGCCAGCCTAACTTTGCTGCATAAATGTTCTAAAAAAAACCAAAAACCCACTATTGAATTAATTGGTTATCGTAATAATGGCCATGCCTTTCAATTTAATAATAAAGATTTAAAATAATGAAGATTTTAAAAAATGTATATATGAGAGAAACATCAATGATGAGGGGGAATCATTGATCAGCTGCCTCTTGCATGCCGTATACTGGGATTGAGCTGTAGCCTGGGCATGTGCCCTAACTGGGAACTAAACTGAGCCCGCTGGCCTTTAATATTCCAATTTTAAATAAAATATGTCTAATCACATTGATTTTTTTAAAAATTTATTTTTAAAGTGTTTTTTCTGTACTTACATATGAAGGAGATAAGAATATGGTCATTTCCCTCAGGTGTTCAGTCCAGTAGGTATGATAGACCTATGTATATAACAAAAATACGTTGTAAAAAAGTAGTGATGAAGCACTAAGTGTATATTTGGGAATGATTTCTGTGAGGAGAATGAGCAAGTACTAGGAATGAATATGCCATATGCACTGAGATTAGAAGAGAGAGAATGGTTATTATCGAGGAGTAATCTTTTGAGGCCTTGTATTTTTTTAGCTTCATGAAAATATTAGTGACATTTGAATATTAAATAATGCCTTTGGAATTAATTCTTTTTCAAAAATGGATTGCCGGCTTATTACAGGACACAAAATTGATTACTGTGATAAGTGAAGGTTCTTGCATCCCTAGAATGAATCTCATTATGTATGTTTCAGCCAAGACCTACATAATAACATCTTGAAGTTCTGGGATTCAGGCTAGATACTTGGAAGGCCCTAGGCCTGGGATAATTATTTTTTTTTTACATTGAGAAATGCTACAATAAGAAATTGCCAGGAAACATGCCATTATTATGCTTTACCTAAGGGAATAAAACTTCTCTTTTCATCTAAATAGACTTGTCAGTACTTAATTTGGAACATAAACAAGGGTTGACATTTTGATTGTTCATCCCAAATACTTAGTTACAAATATTTCTTCTAAATGTTCTCTAATTAAACTCTCAACATGGATATTTTTATGTTTGAAATTATGTAGCTCATCTAGATTGATATCATGAATAATAATTGAAATATAATTTTTCCTATAGGCCTAAAGATATTGGAAGACCAAAAGCTGAAGTTGCTGCAGAATTTCTAAATGACAGAGTTCCTAATTGCACTGTAATTCCGTATCCTTTTCACACAAAAAAAATTACTTGATTTTGTGATGCTTTTGTGAGTTTTTCTGTGCTATGAAAGACTTGTTTAACACAGAGTATACAGATAAGCAAAAAGAAAAAGATCAATAGCAGTAAGTTATCTGCTGATAACATTTTGCTCTATCTTCCAGTGTTTTTTGTAAGGTTGTATACATTTTTTAATACTAATTTTTAAACTAAGCTTCTTTTAACCAGTTCTGTTGTTTATTCTGCATTATTACCCTTATGTTCAGTGTTAGCTGCATATCTCCGCTCCTAGACTCTAAGCCCTTAGGCTGGATCCAGTTAATCTTGTGTCTCCTTAAAGTAGCAGACAAAAGAGAGAGTCGGTATATTATTAACCAAGTCTGTCAAAGTCAATTTATTTTTATAAGAAGTATGTTTTTAAAAATAAGTATTCACTCGCTTGGTTTTCATACTTTTAGATCAGTGGAATTTTTAGTAATTGGTAGAAATTCAGAGATGGGATTTGCTGTATAGAAAATCCTATAGGGTACAAAGTCAGCATACAAAATTCAGTTATATTTCTGTGTACTAACCGTGAACACATGAAAACTGAAATTTAAAATACAATGCCATTTATAAACCACATAAAGAAAAACACCTTAGGTATGAATAAAATAAGTATATGATTTATATGCTGAAAACTGAAATGCTAATGAAAGAAATCAAAGAAGATTTAAATAGAGATTTCATGTTTAGGAATTGGACAGTTTAATATAGTAAAGATGTCACTTATCCCCAAATTTGTATCTAAGTTTAACACAATCTGCCAAAATCCCAGGAAAATTTTTGTCAGTACAAACCAGATTATTCTAAAATTGATATAGAAAGACAAAAGAATACCTAAAATGCTGAAAAAAAAAAAAGGGAGGGGTTACTATCTAATTTCAAGACTTTATATGTAGTTACAATAATCAAGACTGAAGGATTGAGAGAGAGAGAGAGAGAGATATCAGTAAAACAGAGTAGACAAGACAGAAATAGCCCTATGCAAATATGGCCAATTGATATATGACAAAAGGTTAAGAACAATTTAACAGAAGGATAATCTCTTTAACAAATTGTTGTGGGCCAGTGGATAGCTATAGACAAAAAAAAAAATGAATCTTGACGTAACCTCAAAAAGTATTATAACTCAAAATGGATTAAAAGTTTAAGTGTCAAACTTAAAACTGCAAAACTTTTGAAGATGACAGGAGGAAATCTTTGGGATCTAGGGTTTGGTGACGTGTTCTTGGACCAAATTAAAGGGGTGATACATAAAAAATTTGATAAATTGAACTTCATCAAAATTAAAAACTTTTATTTTGTGAAGGAGAATGAAAAGTCAAGCTGCAGATTGGAGGATTCTTAGGCAGGTATTTGACAAAGGACTCAGAATATGTAAAGAAGTTTCAGAACTCAACTGTAAAAATAATGCAATTAGAAAATGGACAGCAAAGAAAGATGTTTCACTGATGTAAAAAACACATGAGAAGATGTTCAACATCACTAGCTATGAGAAATCCAAATTATGGCCACATTGAAATATTACCACTCAACTATAGGACTATCTAAAATTAAAAATTATAATTTAATTAGTAATTTAAAAAATGCTGGCAAAAGTACAGAAGAATTGGATTGTTCATTGCTGGTGGGAAATATAAAATACTATAGCCATCTGGAAAGTAGTTTGTTTCTGAAAAATCTAAACATACACTTTCCATTCCTGGGCATTTATCCCAGATAAATGAATACTTAAGTCTACATAAAAACTTGTTCTTGATTGTTCAGAACAGCTTTATTTGTAGTAGCCCAAAACTGTAAACACCAAAACATCCGTCAAATGAATTGTCTAATGTGATACAGCCAAATTATGGAATAATACTCAATATAAAAACATACCAACTACGAAACAATAGTTTGGATTTTAGATAGATATCAAGGCCATTATGGGTATGAAAAATGCCAATCTCAAAAATTCATCTATGGTATGATTCTATTTACATAACACTCTAAATGACAAAATTATAGAGATGGTAATAAATCAGTGATTGTCAGAGGTTAGGCATGGTGGGGGCAGGGAAGGTGTGACTCCGATCAGGAAGCAGATGGGAGATCTTTGTGCTGATTGATTATGTGTCTAGACTGGTAGTTACACAAGTCTACACATAACAATGGTACACACTTGTACCAATGTTTCATTCACTATTTTGAGATTGTACTAACGTGTTTCCCCGAAAATAAGACATCCTCCGAAAATAAGACCTACTTACAGGTTTCCTTCTGAGTGAAATATAAGGCATCCCCCCCAAAATAAGGCCCCCCAGACTAAACATGAGAGATTTGGTCCACTGATTCTGAAAGAAATGGAGTCACAAGAAATTCACCAGGAAATTCAGGAATTGGATTGTTATGATGATGTTCCAGAAGATGATGACATGATTGTCATTGAATAAATGAGTAAATTCTTGATACTGTAGGATTCACAGTTTATCTGGTTTGTGTTGACAACTATTGTACCATATACAGGTAATAAATTTCCTTTATTTTCATTTAACAATGAATGTGTACCGTATTCTTCTTCATGGAAAAATAAGACATCCCCTGAAAATAAGACCTAGCTCATCTTTGGGAGCAAAAATTAATATAAGACTGTCTTATTTTTAGGGAAACAGGGTAATGTAAGATATAACTGGTGGGAGAAACCTGGTTGTACTCTTTACAACTCCCAGTGAATCTGTTATTTCTAAATAAAAGTTTAAAGATACAAATACAGGCCCCTGCTAAGGAGAAAGAAAGAAACATGTACACTTTATTATCCCCATTATTTAGATCTGACCTAACCTCTGACAATCACCACTTTATTACCATTTTCTAGAAATCCAGGGGATAGGCTTTTTTGGTCTCGCTCCTTGGGTCCCTCCCTCATTGCTGCTCCTCCAGTGTTTGCTCCGGTGCTCTTGATCTTTCTGTTCCAGTTGTCACTTATGTGCCGTTTGCCTAGCTTTAAGAAATAGAACTGAATGGGTGAGGGCTTGAATTTATTTTTTATAGCTTTGTTTGTAGGCCAAGTTTTTTTCTATCTTTTTCCATTTTACATTAAAAACATGAATAATGGATTATTGTAATTTTAGAGAAGTATAACATATATTATTAAACAAAATTGCTCCATTAGGACAGTTAAATGCTTTGCATGCATATGGGTTGTTACAATGGTAAGTGCTATGATTGGTTGATTGATGCCCAGCCAGTTTTGAAGGGGGTTCCTTTTGTACCCCCAGGCAAGAGGAGACTGCCGGTAGGGTTTTGTTGGATAAAAGAAAGAGACATAGAAAACGAATAAACTGAGAGAGGAAGAAAGAATTCTTTCTCTCCATCCCCATCTTCACACCCCAAAAAACAACGATGAATCATTGACAACTGAAAAAGTTATTTTTTGGGGATCTTCTGTGCGCGCGCGTGTGTGTGTGTGTGTGTGTGTGTGTGTGTGTGTGTGTGTGTGTGTTTGTTTTAATATTTTTTTATTAATTTCAGATAGGAAGGGGGAGAGAGAGAAACATCAATGGTGAGAGAATCATTGATTAGCTGCCACTTGCACACCCCCTCTTGGAGACTGAGTCAGGCATGTGCCCTGACTAGAATACAAACCATGACCTCCTGGTTCATAGGTTGACGCTCAACCACAGAGCCACACCAGCTGGGGTGTGTTTTTGTTTTTTATTAGTTTTGCAGTAACTCTCAAAATCACCCAGCTAAATAGGAACTATGATGTGCTTGATCCATTGCTAAATGTTTATTATCTCTTGGCTTGATGCTGATGGTTGAGGATACACACATTCTGCTTTCTCAGGGCTCAGGATTTGATATAAAAACAAGTAGAAAATACTACAGTCATAAATATAATTAAACGAGGAGCTCGTTGCAGGAAGATTCCTGCAAGTGGCCTCCTCAGCTGCCACCACCTCTGCCGCCCACCCTGCCCCGCCCCACCCGTGCTTTCCCTCTGGCAGCTGCCTTGCTTTCTGCTTTTCCTCCCTCTTCTAAGCTGTCTTCAGTCTTCACTCCTCCCTCCCTCAGCTTATGCAAATTAACTGCCATCTTTGTTGGGTTAATTTGCATACTCTGGCTTTGGGTGAAGCAAAGGTACGGTCAATTAGCATTTTTCTCTTATTAGTGTAAATGATATAGGGGTTCAGGGATGACAGAGAGACTAAATAGTTAGGGAGAGGAGTGTAATAAAAGCAGTTTTGTCAGGAGTAGTTTGTGTTCATTTTGTCATCTTCCTTGAATTCCACTACTTTGAACATTTATCAGCTATTTCTTGTTTTAAATATACATTTATAAGTTTTTCCTATGGTATTTTCAAACTCACTTTACAAATTACAAACTTAGCAGTTCAAGTTCCTTTACTTATATTCAGACATTTCAACAAGATCCAGGATTTTAATGACACGTTCTATCGACGTAAGTTGTGTTCTTGAAATTCATCTCTCACTGAATTCTGTTACTTGGTTAGTAGCTATTTGAAAGCTTTTTAGTTGTTTTCATATATTGGTGTTGCTTTTTAGTAAGGTTGTTGGCGAGTTGAAAAGAGCACAGTGCCATTGTTTTTATTCTTACTTGACACCATAATTGCATTTTGCTGCACTGACTTGAGTAAGGATTATTCAAGGATTAGCAGATGTTTGTATATATGTGTGTTATAATAAAAGGTGGGTTTTTTTGTTTGTTTTTGTTTTGTTGTTGCCGTTAATCCTCACCCGAGGATGTTTTTTCCATTGATTTTTAGAGTGAAGGAAGGGAAGAGAGAGAAACATTGATGTGAGAGAGAAACATTGATGTGACACATAGATTGGTTGCCTCCTGCATGTGCCCCAACCAGGGTTGGGGATTGAGCCTACAACCAAGGTATATGCTCTTAACAGGAATGGAACCTACCTCAGGCCTGTGCTTTAACCACTGAACACCCCAGCTAGGGCTAAATGTGATTTTTGTGAGTGTGTGTTTTCTTAGAAGATGTAAATTATATTGTACCATGGCACTTTTAAAAACTAAACTTGAATTTTTTTTCTTATAGAATTTCATATAATTGTATGTGGACTGGACTCTATCATAGCCAGAAGATGGATTAATGGCATGCTGGTAAAGACTTCAGTATTGCAGTTCTTTGAAGTTCTTGCTGTTGCTCTTAACACACTGAAAATTAGAATTTCATTTCATATTTTTTAAAAAATCAGATTTTAATTTCAGTTAAGTTCATGTACTTGTTTATTGCTATCATTAATTTTTAGATGAGGATCAATATTGCTAATATCCCTTGATTTGATATATTAATATTCAGTCATGCTATTGGTTTGTGGAATTACTTGACAGCATGCTTTATATTTTGAATTCTTATCCTCTTCTCCTTTTAAACTCTTCAAATGATTTTCCTAGATATCTCTTCTCAATTATGAAGATGGTGTATTAGATCCAAGCTCCATTGTCCCTTTGATAGATGGGGGAACAGAAGGTTTTAAAGGAAATGCCCGGGTAATTCTGCCTGGAATGACTGCTTGCATTGAATGCACACTGGAACTGTATCCGCCACAGGTAACCCTAAAAAGCACCCGCATCTGTTTTACAGTATCTTGGGATGGAATTATGTTGAAATATTAAGTCTATTCAATATTTAGGATTTTTAATTAGGGGTAACCATATTTTAAAAATCATGCTGCGAAGAAAAATGATAAAATTTGAAATTTGCTTTACTTGAGAGGAAAATATAGCTTTGCTACTATTGTTTTCATAATTTATTTTTTATTTGGAAGAAGGGCTTAAGGGATCAGTTTTAAAATTGTGTGTTGGATAGAGCTACCATCTGTTTTCCTTGCCTGTGATTGTTTCTGGGAAATAAAGACACCAAGGATGAGAATGATCGTTCCAAAGATGAGGTTCTTCCATCTATGTATCTACTTTAGAGGACAGTTAGAATTTTGATCTATTTATGAGTATTCACTTGGAATTAATTTTATTCTGTGAATTTGCTTCTGTTTTATACATTCAGATTCAGATCAGGGGGTAAGGTGAATTATAATGAACTGTTATATATAAATCATAACTAGAAGTTAAATTTTAAAATAAGTCATTGTTTTAAATCCACTAAAAAGGGCTTGGTTTTCAGGTTAATTTTCCCATGTGCACCATTGCATCGATGCCCAGGCTGCCGGAACACTGTATTGAGTATGTCAGGCTGCTGCTGTGGCCGAAGGAGCATCCTTTCGGAGGTGTGGAACCTAATTCATAATGCAGAGTCACATGAAGTATTCGTCTATTTATTCATTTGGATAATTACATAAAAACCAAGTTGATTCATGTTTCTGTTTCTTTTTTTCTCTCCTCTGTTTTCCCCTAACAGAAGGGGTTCCATTAGATGGAGATGATCCTGATCACATTCAGTGGATTTTCCAAAAATCCCTAGAGAGAGCATCACACTATAATATTAGGGGTGTTACTTATAGACTCACTCAAGGTAAGTTAGCAAGTTGCCATGAATAATGATTTGGGAGGATGCTTTTTTTACTGGCTGGGGATACTTTGGAGGAAATAAATGATACGTTATTTGAGACACTACCACCCGTTTGAAGTTCAGTGAAGGTAGCATGGGAATAAAATTTTCAGATGCCCCACAGTTGGAAATGAGTTCAGCAGAATCCATACTACTACTTAGCTAGAAGACTTTGATAAAATCATTGAATCTTATCTACCTAGTATTGGAAATCAACTCATTTACTTTATCATTCAATGAAGAGCAATTTATCACCTGGGGCAGTTTGTTTCACACTTGGACAAGACTGTTAGAAAACTACTCTATATATTGAGCAGAAATCTCCATCTTTAGTTTGGTCTGGGTATTGTTCTAGGGTACCGTGTATATATAAACCTAACTCCCTTAAGTAATAGTACTTAACACATTGAGAACCGTGGTCATATTCCCTCCAAATCTTTATCACTGTCATGAACTTCCCTAATTCCTTTAATCCTTTGACATGTACCTGACTTAAGTACCCATCATGTTATTTTTCTATAACCATATTTCAGTTATCCATAATTTTCTTAACTAGATTAGAATCTACATAGAATATATAAAATATTCTTATTTAAGGTAACAGCCTTCTGATAATTCTGACAATTGATGCAGCCTTAGAGGAGAGTAGGGTTTTTTGTTGTTTCCATTGGTCCTATATTTTCAACTTTTTGAGGTAATTGCCCATGAAAATCTAGAAGTTCTTTCATATATGCAATTGCTAAGCCTCATCTGTAAGACTAAATTGGCAGAGAATTGATGTCTGAATCATACTTCTGATCTGGCCCTAGATTTTAGGTTTTATCTCATTCTATTGATCAGGCCTTCTTGAGTACTTCATATTCTTTGTCTTGTTCACAAGGATGCTATGAAAGACCTTTCCAGATGTTCTAAGCTAGTCAGAGTGACTAAATGAGACTAGTCAAAGAGGACTTGTCTCAGTGAACAATCATAGTGCTCAGTCTTAGGGATCAGTGCTTCCTGATCTAGGAACTCACAGTTCATCCTTTATAGAAATTTTCGAAAGTCATTCTCAAGTTTTTTGAAAATCAGCCATTTCTCTTCTGTGATTATTTTCTTATATTTACTGATATCGTAGTAATGTCATTTGAAAATTCCATTCTTACTGCTTTTTGCTCCTGAATTCCCCTTATTCTGACCTGCTTTGTGTTCCTTGACCACAGCAAGCTTATTCCTGTGTAAGAGCGCTAATATCCTCTTTATGCTTGTACTGCTCTTCCTTTGACCCACTTCAGCTTGGCTGCTTATCCCTCAGGTACCAACCAGTTCTCCTGGTCATTCAACTGAAAATGACCTCTTAACCATTCAGTATTTTACTTTTTTAAAAAATATATATTTTATTGATTTTTTACAGAGAGGAAGAGAGAAGGATAGAAAGTTAGAAACATCGATGAGAGAGAATCATCAACCAGCTGGCTCTTGCACACTCCCCACTGGGGATGTGCCTGCAACTAAGGTATATGTCCCTGACCAGAATCGAACCAGGGACCTTTCAGTCCACAGGCCAACACTCTATCCACTGAGCCAAACCGGTTTTGGAAGTATTTTACCTTTTTATAATTGCTCAGAACGAATACTAATCTCATTTTTCTCTACAAGGAATATTGCATATTCACACACTCATATACATCCCTGCTCTGGGGCCTTTGCCCTTGTTGTTACAGAAATGCTCTTTCCCTAGGTCATTATGTGGCCGGGTATTTCTCAGGGTTTAGGTTTCAGCTCAAACTATCACCTCATGAAAAAGGTCTTCCCTGGTCATCCCAACTGTAACATATACCTCATTTCACTTTTATTCATAGAACTCTTCAGTATCTGAACTTTCCTAATGTACTTACTTGAGTGTTAATCCCCCACATCAGCATGAAAGCTCTATGAGACCAGGTGTTTTTTGTTTTTTTGTTTTGTTTTGCGTAACACTTAGAATAGTGTCTGGCATATGGTACACATTTGGTAATGGCCTGAATTAATAAATGAATTCCGTTTGTCTGATCAGGAACTGGAAACTCTTTTTCATATGTATTCTCATTCATCCCTCTGTACCTTTGAGCAGGGTGCATGCTTTGCAGCCTGGTGATTAAGGTCCTTCACAAGGAGTACAAAGTAAAATGAGAAGTGAAGTCCAGCTTTTTTGAGGGGTGGAGGGGATGAGGAGTCCTTATCATTTTGGCAGTTGGGGGTGATCAGGCCAGCAGGGTAAGGCAGTTAGGGACGACCAGGCAAGAAAGCAGGTCAGCGATTAGAAGCTAGCAGTCCAGGATTGTGAGAGGGATCCTGGATTGGAGAGGGAGCAGGCTGGGCTGAGGGGAATTTTGTGAACTGTAAGATTTTTGGCTAATCTCTTCTTGGCCCCCCTTCCCTCCTACCCTCTGAGATTTGTCTGTTCCATGTTTCCATGCCTCAGGTTCTATTTTATTCATCAGTTTATTTTATTCATTTGGATCCTTGTTCATTTATTTTGATTTTTAGATGCTATTGTTGATAGGTATGTGTTTATTGCCTTTTCGTTGTTCATATTTTGGCTTTTTTTTTTTTTTTTACTTCCTCTTAAAAAATATCCTTCAACATTTCATGTAATGCTGGTTGGTGGTGATGAAGTCATTTAGCTTTTTATTATCTGACCTTCAATTCTAAATGATAGCTTTCCTGGGTAGAGTAATCTTGGTTGTAGGTCCTTGCTATTCATCATTTTGAATAATTCTGGCCTGCAAAGTTTCTGTTGAGAAATCAGCTGACAGTCATATGAGTGCCCCCCTGTAGGTAACTAACTGCTTTTCTCTTGCTACTTTTACTATTCTCTCTTTGTCTTTTGCTCTTGGTATTTTATTTATTTATTTATTTATTTATTTATTTATTTATTTATTTATTTATTTATTTATTTTTTGTATTTGAATTATGATATGTCTTGGTGTAGGTCTCTTTGGGTTCCTCTTGTTGGGATTCTCTGTGCTTCCTGGACTTGTAAGTAAGTCTATTTCTTTTACCAGGTAGGAGAAGTTTTCTGTCATTATTTCTTCAAATAGTTTTTCAATATCTTGCTCTCTTCTTCTGGCATCCCTGTAATGCAAATGTACCCTTGAAGTTGTCTGAGAGGCTCCTTACACTATCTTCATATTTTGGGATTCTTTTCTTTTTTCTCTTCTGATTGGGTTTTTTGCTTCCTCATATTCCAAATCATTGATTTGATTCTTAGCATGCTCAACTCTCTGTTGAGTTCCTGTAAATTATTCTTTATTTCAGTTAGTGTATCCTTTATTTCTGACTGGACCTTTTTCATGTCTTTGAAATTCTCAATAAAATCCTTGAAAGTCTCACCAAGTCCATTGAAGCTCTCATTAAGTCATTAAGGAATGTAACCATTGCTTTGAACTTTGTATCTAATAGTTTGCTTGCTTCCATTTTATTTAGGTCTTTTTCTGGAGATTTCTTCTGTTCTTTCATTTATGACATGTTTCTTTTTGTCTCTGCATTTTGGCTGCTTCCCTGTGTTTGTTTCTATGCATTGGTAGAGCTATGTCTCCTGGAATTGATAGAGTGGCCTTGTATAGTGGTGTCCTGTAGGGCCAGTGACTCAGCCTCCCAGTCACCTGAGCTGGACGATTTAAGTGTGGCCCTGAGTGGGCTGTGTGCATACTCTTCATATATAATAGTTGAGCCTTGATTGCTGTTAGCATCACTGGGAGGAATTGACCTCCCTGCCAGTTGGCTGTGAGGACCAGCTCTGACACAAGTGTGAGAGCTGCTGTGCAGGAAGCACCTTATGGAGCAGGACTTGCTTAAGTGGGGTGTTTGTGCTCACTGGGCCTGCTCCTTCAGTGTGTCACTTGTGAATGAATAGAGTTGTAATCTTGAAGCTGTCCACCAGGTGCAGTGGCTCTGGAGCCTCCCAGGAGGTGCAAAGTCAGCCATTGCCTGGGGCTGCCCGGCAAGAGTTACAGAGAAATCCATATTTCTCCTATTTTTATGGGCTTGGAGGTGCTCAGCTGAGGCCAAGCTGTGAAGCAAGGCAGGCTGCAGTTAGTGCTGCGTCTTGTGCCTCTTATTAATAGGTTTGGGCTCACTGATGGCAGTTGCTGCTTGTTTGAGAGATTGGAGGAATGTCTGAAGCCTGAGCCAGGACAGGCCATTCATATGGAAAAGCCACTGCCAACAGCCTGGGTGGGCCTGTAAGTTGGTTGGGCTGGGATATCAGGAAATCACCAGTATGGTGCCAACAGTGTGAGCCATGCTGATGGGAACTCAGATGCAGCTGCCAGTCAGCTCTGTGACAAGGCAGGGGAGAGAGGTCTCAACATAGGAATAATGACCCCTTTGAGTACCCTTGCTTGGGAGATAGCCACCCTTGAGTTCTTGCTCCAGTGCCAGGTAATCCAGTTTCCGAATGTCCCCGAATCCCTCCTAAGTCGTTGCCCCAGGGCTGGAGCTCAGTGGAAGCAGGACTGTGTAAGTTTGAGTGGTGGCCCTCTAAGAGGAACTGCCTTAGTCTCCAGCATCCTCCCTGTCATTCAGCAACAATCCCGGCTGGTTTTTACATTCCAAAGTTTTGGGTATTTCTCTTCCCATCTCTGGAAACCCTGGGTTGGGGGGTCTGGTGTAGGCCTGGGAACCATGGCTTCTCATTTAATGCCTCCGCAGGTGAGATAACCCAATAAAAAACACACCACACTGCCTGGCTGGTGTAGCTCAGTGGTTGAGCATCGACCTATGAACCAGGAGGTCATGGGTTCGATTCCTGGTCAGGGCACATGCCCAGGTTGTGGGCTTGATCCCCAGTGTGGGGCATACAGGAGGCAGCCAATTGATGTTTCCTGCTCATTATTGATGTTTCTATCTTCCTCTCCCTTCCTTTCTGAAATCAATAAAAATATTTTAAAACAAAAAAACTATACCACACATTGGTGTTGGACCAGCTCTTTCTGTGCCTTTGCCCCTCCTACCAGTATTGATATACTTTTATTTTTCTAGTTGTAGGACTTCCATATAATCAGATTTCAGGTGATTCTGAATGATGATTGTTCTGCATTTTAGTTGTAATTTTGATGAGGTTATGGAAGGCAGCGAATAATGTGTTTACCTGTGCTGTCATTCTGGTTCTTGCTGGGCAATATCTCTTCTACTCCTTACTGTTTGTGACTCCCCACTTCTCCTTTCACTACGTCCTGCTACATGTGGCTCACTGAGAATATCCAGCTTAACCGTCATCAGTAAGCTTCTCCATACTTCTGCTCTGGAATTATACATAATCATGTGGTCAGAATTAACTTTTTAAAATCAGTTTTCCAGACTTAACTGACTTCATGTCTTCTAAGAAATTTGCCCTTTTTTTGAAGTTTTTGAATCCTGCCTACACCAGAAATCTCATCTTTCAGTGCTCCCTCTACTCTAATTAATATAGGTACTTGCCTTTTTAGTTTTTTGTTTTTTTCTAAAGTGAACAATTCAAATGTAGTCATAAAATAGAATATTTTCTACTTAAAAAATTAGCCGAAACCGGTTTGGCTTAGTGGGTAGAGCATCGGCCTGGAGACTAAAAGGTCCCAGGTTCGATTACGGTCAAGGGCATGTACCTTGGTTGCAGGCACATCCCCAGTAGGGGGTGTGCAAGAGGCAGCTGGTAGATGATTCTCTCTCATCGATGTTTCTAATTATCCCTCTCTTCCTCTCTGTAAAAAATCAATAAAATATATTTTTTTAAACATTATTTAAGGTAGAGCTTTGTACATTGCTAATCTGAGTGCTATATAAAAAGTAGGGTAGAAATAGAGGACTATGCAATAGAGGAGTGCAAACTGTAGAGTAAATGAAGATAAAGTAATTCTTGTTTTTTATAGTTTACCCAAACTTCCCTGAGGGTAGTGTTATATCGTGTATCAGTTAAGATTATGCACTTTGGGGTGATCTGGATTTCATATACCACCCCATCACTTACTAGGTAGATAGCTGTAGATGTGATATAATTTCTTTCAACCTCATTTCCCTTGTCATTAAAATCAGAGTAAGAAAATTAACATAAGGATGTTAGGAAAAGTCAGTAATATCTATTTCCTTTTCACAATGTTCTTGGAACATAATAAACACCTAATTGTTAGCTGTTATATCATGTTCTCATCTATGAAGCTTAGCAAAGAGTTAACTTTTCATTGCTACTGTAACTTCCTTAAGAATCTGAACATGCTACAAAAGGATGGGAATGTGGAAAAAGATTGCTTCATGGTTCAACTTAAGTCTGTTTTGTCACTTGAAAGCCTGACACATCAAGCTGTGGAAAATGTTATTTAATAAATCGTATTGCCTAACTCAAAATACCTACTATTTGAAAGAAATTATCATGTTTTATCCGTATGTTTTTTCAGGGGTAGTAAAACGAATCATTCCTGCAGTAGCTTCCACAAATGCAGTCATTGCAGGTGAGGAAAAAAGGCCATCACTGTTTTCTTGCCTTTAGTTTTTGATTCGATATCTAAATTGACATTTCTGCAGCTTCTTGATCTCAGAAAACTGGTGTGATAGGAATGTGATATCTTTTAGGGTAGATGGTATAATTAAGCTGTCCAAAAAGAATTAGCTATTAGGCCTCGTATATGATTTGTTTTATATTATATCACAGAGTGGTCTGTAGCAAGCAGACATTTTCATACCATTTCTGTTTAATTATAACAGGCTGCTTATTAATCTGTAAAGGAAGGAAAACATTATTCTATTACTTGGACTGTCCAAAGCAAATATAAAGTGTTATTTTTTCAGTGTTTTAAAAATAAGAGCATATAAATTTTAATCTATTTTTAATCAATAGCCTTGTTTTTTTTTTATCTGTTCTGATTTACAACTTACTTTCTAAACATTTTTTAAAAAATTTTTATGTTTAATTTTAAATGTTTAATTTTCATTGAGTTAAAGCACCTTTATTTTCTCCCCTTTTCAGCTGTGTGTGCCACTGAAGTTTTTAAAATAGCCACAAGGTAATGAGTTTTATTTTTAATATGGATGTAAATTTCTGTTTTGATCTGGTTCAGTTATTTAAATGTGGACATCTTTTCATTACAGCGCATATATCCCCCTTAATAATTACTTGGTATTCAATGATGTAGATGGACTGTACACATACACATTTGAAGCAGAGAGAAAGGTTAGTATTATTATACTAATGAGAACTTTTTTTGATCATGCATACTTTGATTTTTAAATATTAATAAATAAAATTGCCCATACCCTTTCAGAACCTTAGTTACTATATATCTTTTGTAGTAGAGCCTGAAAGAAATACTATGTAGCAAAGTAACTTAGGAAAAATGGCTATTCTGAAAAGCATAGATTTTTCAAGCATAAACATTCGCTCATAGGAAATATGCATGTTTATAAAACAGTTTCATTTTTATTTCATTACTATAAAGAAACTATTATTGGTGCATGTGCCACTGTGATTTATTGTGTTTCATATATGTAGGAAAATTGTCCAGCTTGTAGCCAGCTTCCGCAAAATATTCAGTTTTCTCCATCAGCAAAACTACAGGAGGTTTTGGATTATCTAATCAATAGTGCTTCTCTGTAAGTGTTCCGGACTTCTGTTATGTTGTAGAAATAATTTTTGAGATTTTAAAACTTTAGGATTCTTTGTTAAAAAGTGATCTTTGATTTTCCCCTCATACTTGTATTCAGACAGATGAAATCTCCAGCCATCACTGCAACATTAGAGGGGAAAAATAGAACCCTTTACTTACAGGTGAGAAGTGTGCAGTTTTCATTTCGTTCACAGTTACATTAAAAGTCTGATTTCATTCAATGTGTTTACATTAAAATAACTTTGCTTTCTAGTCAGTCACCTCTATTGAAGAACGAACAAGGCCAAATCTCTCCAAGACATTGAAAGGTATTTTAAATGAGTATATTTAATAATCGGCTTCTTTTTTTGGTAAAAGTGGCAATTCCTTTTAGATTAGCTGTTAATGCCTTCTTCATATAATGATACCATCTTAAATATTTATATCTATAGAATTAATAGATTTAATTGTTCTGTTAGAATACACGAAAATTTCTAAAGAAATCAAATATATTGCTTCCTTTAATCAATATATTTTTACTTATGTTTATCTCAACCATAACATTCTATAGTTTGTGTATCTGTGTATTGTTATCATTTTTGTTGAGTTTTTTCCCCCCCTTGGGTTAATTATACTTTTTCCGTTTTAGAATTGGGACTTGTTGATGGACAAGAACTGGCAGTTGCTGATGTTACCACACCACAGACAGTACTATTCAAGCTTCATTTTACTTCTTAAGGAAAATAAATCTGCACATAATATTAAATGTATGGAAATACTATACTTTGTGGATGCTAAGAAAATTATTTTTAGCATTAGTATTGCTGAAATTTGACATTTTTTCTTTTTAAATGTAATGAGCCACTCTTTTTTTAATAACTTTCCCTTGAAGACAGAATTTGGGGTTGGTGCTTGTAAGCATTTTCATTAATAATATGGAAAATGATGCTTAGAGATTATGAGCAAAAAATGTATAGCTTCTTTTAGAGAAGACAAACACCCTCTTATGTGTGGATTTTGTTATTATGGTCAGAGTGCATTCCTCAGTTTTCATTTGGGCACCCACATATACAAAAGATGTCTTTAAAGAAAATTAAGTTCCAAATAACATTAAATGTTACAACTTGACATCTGGTGCATATTGAACATAGTCTGTATCTTGCTTGTTTTAATATTCATTTAATCGTGGCTGTTCAAATGAATATTAACTTTTGCAAAGGTTACCTTGCCCATGATAATTTTTAAATGGTGTTAGAGCTGAATACCTGTGCATGGAAATGAGAAATATTTTCATGTGTTTATTTGAGGTGCCATAGAGGCCAGTATATGCAACATTAAAGTCAAGACATGGTTGTTTAAAAGAAAAGTTATCATTGATGCTTTCACACTATTTATTAATAAAATCATATGTTGTCTACTTCTCTCACTGAATCTTTTAAAAATATATTAAGGATCATAAGTAGTTCTGTAGTATTGTAGGAATAAATTTTAAATGTATAGCAGAATTACTAATACAAAATTTTTATAGCACCTGCATTAATATTTTGACACAGTAAATATCTACTGTTTTAATTTAATTTGCTCTCACATAAATATTGTAATGAAGTAGAATAACTATATTTTTATATTAATATTTCTTAAAATCCCCCCCCCAAAAAAAACCCAAAAACAAAACAACAACACTGAGGCGTAAAACAAAGTCAAGCATAAGTTCTGAAAAATGAGTTTTAGTATCTCAGTGTGGAAACATGTATATGTTCTCACTGTGTCTTTGACTTAGACGGCAATTTTGTCTTCACAAGCCTTGTGACTGTTACTAGGCTACATATTCATTTTTTGTTTTTTGTTTTAGTTCCACATTGACAATTTGTTTCATTCTAAAATCATAAAGGATAGACTTTCTACTTAAAAAGTTACAAGGTTAGTATAAATTTTTGGAAGTGAAGGAACTAACATTTAGCACTTCTTTTTTTTTTTTTTTTAATATATTTTGTTGATTTTTTACAGAGGGGAAGGGAGAGAGATAAGAGAGCTAGAAACATCGATGAGAGAGTCATCGATCAGCTGCCTCTTACACACTCCCTACTGGAGATGTGCCTGCAACCAAGGTACATGCCTTTGACCGGAATTGAACCTGGGACCTTTCAGTCCGCAGACCAACACTCTACCACTGAGCCAAACCGGTTTTGGCAGCACTTCTTTTACACGGGTGCAATAATAATTCTCAAGGTGGACCTGTAAGGGCTCACTTGGGAGCTGCCCCTGCCTTTTCCTTTCCCTTTCCCACCTCCTCCCTGCCCCAGGCACCATACCATTAGCTTCATCACTCCCAAGCTCCAAGGGCCCTTTCTTTACCTCCGTAACTAGCAAATAAATGTAAGAAGGTGACAATATCTCCATCTAAGAGCTGAATAGTTTTAGAGAGTTTAGGTCATTTATCCAAAAATGTACAATTAGAGGTATTGGAAGGGATTTTCAAAGAAAAATAGTTCCTTGTAAAATGCTGAAATATAGGGAGGGGGATGGTAAGGTAAAGAACCACAGCAAGGGAGGGTGTAATAGAATACAGTAAGATTAGTTAGGGTCTGTGGCAAACTGGAGTGAAAAGTATTTTTCTATAACCCTATGTAATAAAAGGCTAATAGTCAAATTGAACAAATGGCAAAATGTCTGGTTGCTATGGCACACACTGACCACCAGGGAGCAGACACTCAATGCAGGAGCTGCCCCCTGGCGGTCAGTGCACTCCCACAGGGGGAGCACCAGCTGGGCTCATGGCTGGCCTGCCCAGTGGCAGTGATGGGAACCTCTCCTGCTTCCATGGCAATGCTAAGGATGTCCAACAGATGGCTTAGGCCCGCTTCCTGGACTGCAAGAGGGGGCAGGCTGGGCTGAGGGACCTCCTCTCTCCCCACTGCCACCAGTGCACGAATTTCACGCACCAGGCCTCTGGTACATTCTATAATATATCATTTGTATATTGTATTGTGTATACATCAACCCAAGTCAAGTTTCCTTACATAAACACATCCCATCCCCTCCCTCCCCTTCACCCTCTCTCACCTCTCCCTACCCCGGAGTGAAAAGCACTTGTTAAAAGGGGCAACCACTTTATCTGAGTTTTCCATGTTGGAATTCTTATTTTTCAAAATCAACTGGAAATTTGGATTTTTGTATGAAATCTTTTAAATGTTGGTAGAATTTTTAACACCACACTACAGGGGCCAAACTAAACAGTCTGATTAGATTAGGAAGGGCACCAGTTAGATTTCTTCATATAGCTACCGGTAGATATTTGAGGAGTGCATGCAGAAAAAGTGGCGTTTTAAGTAATGTGCACAGTACACATTAATAGAGGAAGAAGCTTAGTGCTTCCCAGGTTTGTTTTGACAGGACAGTATTGTTAGGGAGAGATGGTGCCTGTTATACTCGTTGTGCAAGATGGCTTTTTCTCTCAGGTGGGCTGGGTCAGATTTTTTTTAATACGAAGTCCAGTATTTCTAGGTAAACCCCCCAAACCAAGGTACATGCCCTTGACTGGAATCGAACCTGGGACCTTTCAGTCCACAGGCCGACTTTCTATCCACTGAGCCAAACCCAGGTTTCTTCTTACGACCAAGTTACACAGAAAGAAGTAAATATTTGAGACAAAGCGCTAAGCAGAAGTGCGCTTCCCAGCGTCACTTGTTTGCACTCATTGTTGGCAGAGCGCTAGTTCTCAGAATAGCGAGCGGTTTCCTAAGAAGGAACTCAACAGGAAAACCTATGAGTTCGTGCTCTACCCAGGCATCGCTGTCAATGGAAACCGTTCCGCGTTCCTCGGTAACTAATGGCAACCCCGCTCTCCGGATGTGACGTCGCGCCCTGCTTCCGCCCACCGTCGGAACTCGGGTTGTTGTGGACGTGGAAGTGCCGGCGCACGCGCAGCGCGCCGGCCGGGGTGGGCTGGGCTGAGGGGCCGCGGCTCGGTCTGTCTGTCTGTCATGGGCGCCCGCTGACGCCCGCCGAGCGCGGAGGGCGAGGCCGCCGCGCACGCTCCCGGCCGCGCCGCGGCTGCCGGCCGGCGGGAGGATGAGCTGGTTCAACGCGTCGCAGCTCTCCAGCTTCGCCAAGCAGGCCCTGTCCCAGGCGCAGAAGTCCATCGACCGGGTCCTGGACATCCAGGAGGAGGAGCCGGGCGCCTGGGCCGACACCATCCCCTACGGGGATCCGGGTACGGGGTCGGGGTGCGGGGTCCGGGTCCGGGGTCCGGGACCGGGGTCCGGGCGCGGGGTCCCGGTATGGGGTCTGGGTACGGGGTACTGGTGCGGGGTCCGGGTCCGGGGTCCGGGTCCGGGGTCCGGTGCGGGGTCCGGGTCCGGGTCCGGGTCCGGGGTCCGGGCGCGGGGTCCGGGTCCGGGTCCGGGGTCCGGGTCCGGGTCCGGGTCCGGGGTCCGGGTCCGGGTCCGGGGTCTGGGGTCCGGGTGCGGCGGGCCGGCTCGGTCCGCTCTGCCCCTTCCGGCGGGAGCGCCGCCCGGTCCCCGCCGCCGCGGCCTGGGGGCGGGCCGGCCCCGCGCTCGGAGCTCGGCCTCCGGGAAGCGGGGCGCCAGGCCGCGGCGGGCCCTCCGGGAGGTCGCGCGGCCCGTGCTGCCCGGGAAGCCGGCGCAGAAGGGCCGCGGCGGCGGCTGGGGCTGGCCCCGGGAGCCGCCCGCACTCGGCGGGCCTCGGGTTGCTCTGGGCTCTTCGTCCCCAAACCTGTAGCCTTTGTTGTGGGTAAAGGTGCAGATTTGGGGGTGTGGCCTCCGTGAGGAGTAAGTTATTCTTAACGACGTCGTCCGGGGTTTTGTTCCTAATTTTACATCGTTGAAAGGTCAGGAACTGAATTGGAGGTACCACGTTTTGAGTTTTTTTTTGGCCCATGTCTGCTGTCATGATCCTGTTACTTCTTTACAGGATGTTAGACCTTGTTGGAGTAGCTCAACTACCCTTTTCATAGGTACCCCACAATTTTAATTCCTGACTTTAAAGGAGATGATAAGTTTTAAATATTAGAATACTCGTTTTATGAAACCTGAGGCTTGAGTTGTGCTATATAATTCATTTTAATTTTTTATTGTTTTAAAAATATTTTTTATTGAGTTTCAGGGAGAAAGGAAGGGAGAGAGAGAGAAAAAAAAAATCCATGTGAGAGAAAAACAATTAGTTGCCTCCTGCACACATCCAGACCAGAGATCGAACCTGTAACCTGGGTATGTGCCTTGACTAGGATTGGAACTGGCAACCTTGTGGTGCATGGGATGCAGCCCAACCAAACGAGCTACACCAGCCAGAGCTATGTAATCATTTAAAAAAAATAAAATGTTATCCAGAATAGACTCAGATTTTAGTGAAATGCCATTAATGTTTATTAATCACCTATTTTTATTTTACATTGCCATGATTACAACATGACCAATCTTCAGAAAGTAGTATTTAAAAATATATTTTTATTCATTTCGGAGAGGAGAGAGAGAGAGAGAGAGAGAGAGAGAGAGAGAGAGAGAGATATCAATGAGGAGAGAGAATCATTGATCTGCTGTCTTCCACAGGCTCCACACTGGGTATTGAGCTGCAGCCTGGGCATGTGCCCTGGCTGGAATCAAACCGTGAGCCATGCTGGCTGGGCCAGAAAGGAGCATTTTAAGTGGATATCAGATAACCTGTGTTTTATATAGAACATTTTCCAAGATGCAAATTTGACTTCTGTAATTCATTAAGATGACTTAATAAACTAAATTAATTAGATTTATTCTTGCTTGTTCATTTGCATCTTAAATTTTGGATTTCACCTTTTTACATTGTCATATGCTGAACAAGTGAATATAAACTATGTCCTTAAACTGAAGTTTTCTAATATGAAGTTATATTAAAGGATAGACTTTAATATAGGGCTTGACAGTTTGTAGGAACTTTTAGGTATTTGTGTTCTGGCCACCAACTTCTAATTGTGTATAATTTGTGATAATTCTCAGCCACTGTTGAATATAGAAAAGGCATAATTTAAAAAATTCTTTAAACATTTTAGGGAATATGCCATACATGTCTCTGACTAATATAATTACCTCTTTTTTTCCCCCAGTGATATTTTCTCCTGTTTTTTAAAAATTCTAGTAAGTTACTATCTATATCAAAGAGCAGTAATTTTAATAAAAATACACATTTATGAAATTCATATGACCTAATTGCTGACATAATTTAGAAATTAGAACAAAACTTTCTCATGTAGTGGATTTGGAAAATGGGACTTGGAGAATGAGCTTGTTATTAAGTGAATGAAAATGAATTTCAAGTTGCTGTCCCCATCATTTACTTTGATCTTTTAAAAAAAGGACATCTGCCACCAGTATTTTGGTTTAGTTTTTTAGTGTTGCTCTCTTGTCTAGCTCATAACTATGTTTTATTCTTGATATTACAAGAATAAAATTAATATGAAGCTAACTTAATAGAAGGTAAAATCAATTTGCCATGACTGCATGTACCTAAAAGTGAAGATATTGCCATTTATCATGAAATACAGCATATGTGTCTTGGGCTTAGCATCTTTCAGAACATACCATTATTTTCTTGATTTGTTGTGGGAGGAGATAATATATTTGCTTTGGTAGTCCAGACCCTGTCTAGTCTTTTGTCTTTGTTCCTAGTTTCCCTTGGGCAGGTGCATACCAGTTTTCCCCTTTAAAGTCCAAAGTTAATCCACTAACTAATTTTTACATAGTAGGCAAGGAGTTTAACAGACAAATTATAGATTGTATTCTATTGACTTTCTTGTTTTAACATATTAATATTGACTTACAATAATGATTATTTTTATATATATATGTTTTTATATATATGATTATTTTTTTATATATATGTATGTATATATATATATATATATATATATATATATATGTATTTTCTCCCCCCCAAAGGAATAGGTTCCCCTGTCAGTGGAGGATGGGATACTTCAACCTGGGGAGGAAAATCAAACGCAGAGCCTCAGAGTCAGCCCGCAGCCTCTCCTAAAGCAATCACAAAGCCAGTGCGGAGAACGGTGGTAGATGAGTCGGAAAGTTTCTTCAGCGCCTTTCTCTCGCCAGTGGATGTCCAGCCCATTCAGAAGAGTCCGGTGGTATCCAAGCCGCCAGCTAAGTCACAGAGACCAGAAGAAGAAGTGAAAAGCACCTTACAGGAAACCGTGCACCCTGGAGGGTCAAGGACACCTGAAACAACGGAGTCAGAAGTGACAGACTCTCTTCCCTGTGTGTCCCCAGGGGAGACTCTGGCAGCAGCCACTCTGCCACCGAAAACTGAAGGCGAGCATGGAGAAACCGGTAATAAAGATTCTGACATGAAGGTGTCAACCACAAGTTTGCAAGAATCTGAGAATGTGATTAATGTGAAAACAACCGGGGAAAGTGTATCTGCCGTGTCTACGCAGTCTCTCACGACAGAAACGAAGGACATAGCTTCAGAAGTGAAGGAACAGAAACACGAAGACAGACAGAGCAATACACCCTCTCCTCCCGTTAGTACCTTCTCATCGGGTACTTCTACAACCAGCGATATTGAAGTTTTAGATCATGAAAGTGTGATAAGTGAGAGCTCAGCAAGTTCGAGACAAGAGGCTACAGATTCCAAATCAAGTCTTCACTTGATGCAGACATCTTTTCAGCTTCTCTCAGCATCTGCTTGTCCTGAATATAATCGTCTAGACGACTTCCCCAAACTCACTGAGAGTTGCTGCTCATCTGATGCTTTTGAAAGAATAGACTCGTTTAGTGTACAGTCATTAGATAGCCGGAGTGTAAGTGAAATTAATTCAGACGACGAACTGTCAGGGAAGGGTTATGCTTTAGTACCTATTATAGTTAATCCTTCAACCCCAAAGACAAAACTTGTTGAAGCTGTTGAAGGAAAATCTGAGGAAGAAGTAAATGAAACATTAATTATACCCTCTGAGGAAACAGAAATGGAAGAAAGTGGACGGAGTGCAACTCCTGTGAACTGTGAACAGCCTGATTCCTTGGTTTCTTCTACACCAATAAATGAAGGACACACTGTCTTAGACAAGGTGGCTGAGCAGTGTGAAGCTGCAGCAAGTCAACCAGAAGCACTTACTGAAAAGGAGGATATTTCCAAGGTAACTCTGGAAAGTGCAAGAGGGTTTTTGGGTACTCTTCAGAGATTAAATCATGTTTATTCTATGTATTAAGATATTTTTATTGACTTTAGAGAGGAAAGGAGAGGAGAGAGATAGAAACATCAATGATGAGAGAGAATCATTGATTGGCTGCCTCCTGTACAAACAATACTAGGGATCAAGCCTGCAATCCGGCATGCGCCTTGAGCAGGAATTAAACCATGACCTCCTGGTTCATAGGTTGCCACTCAACCACTGAGCCACGCAGGCCAGGCTGCATGTGGCATCTTTAATAGATTCCTCTGAGAAATACAGGATGTCTTGGAGAACTCCCTGTAAATGCCATGCACTGAATTAATGTAAAAAAGTGCCAGCCTCACTACCTGGGTCTAATATTCACTATGAAATGCCTTGCTGCAGCAGTTTGAATTCCTAGAAACCAGTACTCTTTATTTCAATAAGATATTTTGAACTGTTTCAGGAGATAAGTGGTTTCTAAATTAATCTAGATTTAAATCAAGTAAGAGTTAATTCTTTTAGTACAAAAGCCACCATTTACCCCTTTTATAAGTTTATCACTGCTCCAGCATGACCTAAGAAATCAGATATTCTAAGCATTTCTTTTTGCGTAGCTTTTTTTATTCCAATATATTCTGGAGATTTAAAATTGCATGCCTATAGATTTTCTAAAGTTACTTTTTAAGTGCAGTGTGTTATATTTAAAAGGTTACATGTTACATGTTTGCATTAAAGAATAACATGGGGAAAAAAGACAATTGTATACCTACTGCCCTCTAAGATATAAAACGTTATTAAAGGCTTTGAAGCCTTTCTTTGATTTATTTACCAGAGGCCCAGTACACAAATTCATGCACCAGTGGGGTCCCTCAGCCTGGCCTTCGGGATCAAGCTTAAACCGGCTCTCTGAGATCCCCCGAGGAGTTTTGGATTGCGGGAGGGAGCAGGCCAGCCCGAGCGACCCCACCAGTGCACAATTGGGGCCAGAGAGGGATGCAGAAGGTTGGCCAGCTGGGGAGGGATTTCAGGAGGGCTTTTGGGCATGTCTGGCCCATCTTGCTCTGTCCCTATCCACTGGACCCCAGCAGCAAACTAACTGGTTGGAGCGTCTGCCCCCTAGTGGTCAGTGCACATTATAGAGAGCAGTTGAGCAGCCTTAGCATATCATTAGCATATTGCACTTTTATTGGTTGAATAGAGGACTGGACAACCGGACACTTAGCATATTAAGCTTTTATTATATAGGATTTTTTTTTTAATCACATCTATCTCTCTTCCTCTCTTGCACACTCTTTACAAGTTTTGCTGTTACTAACTGCTGTAGGTGTTCTTATATAACACGTGCAGCAAGTTTCTCTTCTAAGGTAGACCTGAAAATAGAATGTATTCGTTTTGTTCTCAATATTTAATTCTTTTTATGAGATAATTCTGGATTTATTTATTTATTGATTATAGTGGTTAGTTATTTTTCAACTCGTCACTGCATGTTAAATGTTTGACTTTTGTTATGCTCCTTATCTAGAAAGTTGAATTTCTGAATGAGAAACTGGACAAAAGGGAGGCGCAGTTATTATCTCTTAGTAAAGAAAAAGCACTTCTAGAAGAAGCTTATGATAATCTGAAAGAGTAAGTATTTTACAAATGTGAGTAATTTTTTACATTTCGTAGAAGCCCATACACTTGGTTATTAAGAAAATGGTTTATAATTTAACTTGTTTATAATTATAAAAATTTGAATAGCATTTCAATTCTAACCTTAGAGATTACTTTTCTCCTCACATTATTTTGAGCATATTCTTTTGGCATTGAAGAGAGATATTTTGCAAAATAAAAACTTTTTTACCTTATTAACTACTTTCATGAAATTCTTGCATGCTGGGGGCGGGGGGATCCCTCAGCCCAGCCTGCACCCCCTCCAATCCGGGACCCTTTGGGGGATATCCGACTGCCAGTTTAGGCCTGATCCTGGGATTGGGTTTAAACCGGCAGTCTGACATCCCTCTCACAATCCAAGACCACTGGCTCCTAATTGCTCACCTGCTTGCCTGCCTGGTTGCCCCTAACTCAGCTTGATCGCCCCTTACTGCCTCTGTGTGCTGGCCAGGTTGCCCCCAATTGCCCCCCCCACACACACACCCCGCCTGACTGGTCACCTCTTATTGCCACACCCTCCCCCCATGCTGGCCTTATCGCCCCTAACTGCCCTCCCCCACACCCCGCTGACCTGATCACCCCACACAGCCCTCTGTTCAGTCGTTTGGTCATCCCTCACTAACCTCCCTGCTGGCCTGGTTGTAGGCAGCCATCTTGTGAGGGTGAGAAGGTCAAATTGCATATTACATCTTCATTATATTTTAGTACTAGAGGCCTGGTGTGCAAAATTTGTGCACAGATAGGGTCCCTAGGCCTGGCCAGTGATCAGGGCTGATCGAGGCCTTCCAGCTGCAGGTCAGGGCCTTCCTTGGTTCTGTGCCACCTCTGGTGGTCAGCACACGTCGTAGCAAGCAATCGAACTCCTGAGGGAAGATACATGCAAGAACGGGCCTTCCTTCCCCTGCTGCCAGCACCGCTTTCGCTCTGCAGGAGCCGCCTTTCCACCTTCCCACACTGCCCAGAGGCCCAGAGTGGCTGGAGCAGTGCAAAACGCATGTTGTCACCATGGCCCCTGTGTATGCAAATTAACCTGCCATCTTCATTGGGTTAATTTGCATACTCATTGGCTGGTGGGCATTACCAAGGCACGGTCAATTTGCATCTTATTCTTATATTAGTGTAGATATTAGAGATTTAAAACAGGTCTTTAAAGAAAACAGCAATATTATAAGTTTTTAAAAAAATAACAAGTATTGACTTGCTTTATGAAGTTGATTGGTAAAATGTGACAAAATTCAAAATGAAAAATTTCATTTACTTTTATCTTATTTTTACATATCAAACATTGTTAACATTTTCAGTTATTAGTGAGTTTTCTTTCAGGTGTTTTAAAATAAATTAAGTGGGTAATTTTTCTCTGGAAAGTTAACAGGACTAAAACTAATCTATTTTATTATAGTATGTGTTGAAGACAATGTCATTTTTCTTTTGCAAACTGAACTCATTTTGTTAACTTTGAAATATTTAAACAAGTATCCTCAGTCTCAGTATTATTTTAAATTTAGTGAAATGTTCAGAGTGAAAGAAGAAAGCAGCAGCATTTCTTCCTTGAAAGATGAGTTTGCACAAAGAATTGCAGAAGCAGAAAAGAAAGTTCAGCTAGCCTGCAAAGAGAGAGATGCTGCTAAAAAGGTAATGGAAGTTTAAAGTAATATTAATTAAACTCTATAGTGATACTGATTTTTGAGCAGTGCCTTCATTGTATTTTGGTATTAGAAAAAGAGAGGTAAGCCGGAACCAGTTTGGCTCAGCGGTAGAGCGTCGGTCTGCGGACTGAAGGGTCCCAGGTTCAATTCCGGTCAAGGGCATGTACCTTGGTTGCGGGCACATCCCCAGCAGGGGGTGTGCAGGAGGCAGCTGGTCGATGTGTCTCTCTCATCGATGTTTCTAGCTCTCTATCTCTCTCCCTTCCTCTCTATGAAAAATCAATAAAGTATATTTAAAAAAAAAAAGAGAGGTAAGAGTAAAAGGATACTATAGAATATTAACACTTAATTTGTAATTTTTTCAATACCTTTAAAATGATAAATTTTGATACTTTAAAAATTCTAAGCAAATACTTGTCTGTGTAATTTATAAGTCCTTGCAAGATATATAGCAAGGATCACTAGAATAATTTTTGTAAATGATAATTTCATCAAAGTAAGTAACACAAGTTATTTAAGTAAAATTTATCATTACTCTTGTTAATTTTCTATCACTTCAAACATATATACTTCTTCAAGTCAAAGTAATTTTAAAATATATTAACTTGCTGAAACCGATTTGGCTCAGTGGATAGAGCGTTGGACTGCGGATTGAGGGGTCCCGGGTTCTATTCTGGTCAAGAGCATGTACCTTGGTTGCGAGCACGTCCCCCCCCAGTGAGGGGTGTGCAGATGCAGCTGATTAATGTTTCTCCATCATCGATGTTTGTAGCTTTCTATCCCTCTCTCTTCGTCTCTGTAAAAAATCAATAAAATATATTTTTAAAATATATATTAACTCTTGGGAGGCATAACATTTATTTATTCTAATGTAAGATTTCACAATCTTAGCACTGTTGACATTTCGGGCTTTATAATTTTATGTTGTATAGAACTGTCCTGTGCATTATAGGGAGTTGATCAGCGTTCCAGGCCCCTCCATACAAGGTGACAGTATTACCCTTCCCTGTTGCCGTTCTCCTCTTCCCCTCAGCTGTGCTTCCCTCAGCTAACATTTCAATGAAAATGTTAGCAGACATTGTCAGATGTTCCCCTTGGAGTCAAATCACTCCTAGTGGACCATTGTTCTGAGTCTTATAATTTGGAACAGTTGGTTATTTCAGAAATTGGTAACTAAGGTTAGTAATTATTGCTTGTATTCCAACTGTGAGTAATCATATTTCTTAGCATTTGCCATTCTCAGTTAGGTTGCCTTCCTCCTTCTTGACCACTGTTAATGTTAATATAATTTTTCTGCATATACTCTTACGAAAAGAAATATGTCATATACCTCCATTTGCTTGGCTGTTTTATGTTTTAACTAGCTAGTTCATTTCAGACACTAGTAATAACCTGAGACTACCTAACCAACTTACCTCTTCTTGTCCCTACTGTATTTCATCTGGACCAGTTTAATCAAGAAATTGGATTTTAAGTAATATTTGTTTCCTATAGTATACTTTGAATTATAGATCTAAAATAGATTGAAACCATTAACTGCATTTTTATATATATTGCCATGTATGACCTGCTTAAGAGGTATAGGCCATTCAGAGGTAAATTGAATTACCTTAAGTGACAAATTTGCTTTTCTAGTGATAGAAGACAATGTCAACAAGTGTAAAGTATGAGGCAGAATTAAATAAGTCACACAGATGAATAAGCAGCCTGGAATGGTATTATAGAGGATGAATTCTGACCAGGGTAATTGAGAAGGTTTCATGGAAGACATGATGTTCTTACTGGACCTTAATGTGTGAATCAAAATTTTTAACAGTTGAAAATGGATAGCAATGTTATGGATGGTTCAGAGGATGGGCTTTGGAGTTCCACAGACCTGGTTTCAAGTGGTAACTCTACCACTTTAATAGTTTTCTGACCTTGAAAGTTTACTCAGTCTTTCTGAGTCTTAGTTTCTTGTTTGTGTAGTTGAATCATACAGTAGTTGCCACCCTTATAGGATTGATGTCAGGATTAAGAGGAAATGGATACAAAATATGCTTTACACACCTGATAAATGTTAGCTGTTTTTAGCTATTTTTAATTCCAGAGCAACTCTTAAAACCAGATTTTAAATTATAGAAGGCTTTTCATCTCATCATACTTGTCCATTGTAGCTTTTAAAGATAAGCTATCTTGACATATTTCTGCTGAATCTCTGCTTTATTAAAGTAGATCAGACTTTATTTAATCATGTTTTTCCTTTCACAACATTCTAGTAAGTGTGAGAGAGGTTTTTTTATTTTTATTTTATTTTATTAATTTTTTTTATATAAAGAGGAAGGGAGAGGGATAGAGAGCCAGAAACATCGATGAGAGAGCAACATCGACCAGCTGCCTCCTGCACACCCCGCACTGGCGATGTGCCTGCAACCAACGTACATGTTCTTGACCGGAATTGAACCTGGGACCCCTTCAGTCCTCGGACCGATGTTTTATCCCCCGAGCCAAACCAGTTTTGGCTTGAGAGAGTTTTAATAAGGAAAAGAAATACAGTAAGAAATGGAGACATGTACTATTTGAAATGTTGTTCCAATTATAATGCTTGTAGAAAATGTAGTTAGAAAAACTCAAGAAGAATATTGAAATTTAACTTATTCTCATTTCCATTTTTATATTAAAACTTGTGTTTATCTGAATTCAGGTTTTCTATATCATTTTCAAAGCAGTTTTCTTAGTCTTAATGAACCAAGGTAATAAATTCAGGATAATGGAACAAAACTTATGAATTCTTATCAAGAATGTCATTATTGCCAAAACAGGTTTGGCTCAGTGGCTAGAGAGTAGGACTGCGGACTGAAAGGTCCCAGGTTCGATTCCGGTCAAGGGCATGTACCTTGGTTGCGGGCACATTCCTGGTAGGGGGTGTGCAGGAGGCAGCTGGTCGATGATTCTCTCTCATCAATATTTCTAACTCTCTATCCCTCTTCCTTCCTCTCTGTAAAAAAAAAAAGAATGTCATTATTGATGACTTTTGGGAATATGGGAAATAATTGAAATATGCTCAGAATCAAAGTAATTCTTTATGGTATTTTTTTTAATTAGGAAATCAAAAATATGAAAGAAGAACTTGCGACTAGATTAAATTGTAGTGAAACTTCAGACCTTTTGAAAGAGAAAGATGAGCAGATCCGAGGATTATTGGAAGAAGGTGCGTATTTAATTGATTATGAAAAATCTGGTAAAGACAGGAAAAATACAAGCTGCTGCTTCCTAATAAAAAAACATTGGGAGCAAGTAAGGTTTGCACTTAAATCTCAGAAATAGTGGGTTATAATTTATGGGAGAATGAGGAGCAAGGTGTACAGAGGCAGATACACACATAATGTAGCTTTTTGTTTCTAGAGAGGAAAATAAATAAATCTCTGAAAAATAGAAGCATGTGTTTCCTAAAGCAAGCTTTTAACAGGTCTTAAAGCCTGTCATTCATTCATTCATTCTGTCATTCATTCATTCATTCATTTATTTTAAAAAGTATTTTTATTCTCCTAGTTTGTTTGGCTCAGTGGATAGAGCATCAGCCTGTGGACTGAAGGGTCCCAGGTTCGATTCTGGTTAAGGGCGTATGCCAGGGTTGTGTGCTCAATCCCTATTGGATTTCAGAGAGGAAAGGAGAAGGAGAAAGAGGAAGAAACATCCATGATGAGAAAGAATCATTGATTAGCTGCCTCCTGCATGCCCCCAGTGGGGATTGAGCCGAAACGGAAGCATGTCCCCTGACCTGGAATTGCACTGTGTCCTCTGGGTCATAGATTGACACTTAGCCACTGAGCCCGTCCTTTGGGAACAGCCTATCATTTAAACCAAGATGCTCAATGCAGGAGCTGCCCCTGGTGGTCAGTGTGCTCCCACAGGGGCAGCGCCGCTCAGCCACAAGCCAGGCTGACAGCTGGCGAGCACAGTGACCAGCCTCAGCAGCAGTGCTAAGGATGTCTGCCTGCAGGTTAGGCTCCCTCCCCACAATCCTTTGGACATCCCCGGAGGGCTCCCAGACTGCAAAGGGCACAGGCCGGCTGAAGGACCCTCCTCCCCCAAGTGCACGAATGTGTGCACCTGGCCTCTAGTATTGAATAAGAGTGGTGAAAGCGATATCCCTGATCTTAAGGGAAATGCTTTTTAATTTTTGCCCATTGAGTATTATGTTGACCGTAGGTTTGTCATATGGCCTTTATTTTGTTGAGGTATGATTCCTCTGTTCCCACTTTGCTGAGAGTTTTTATCATAAATGGATACTGGATTTTGTCAAATGCTTTTTCTGTGTCTATTGGCATGATCATATGATTTTTATCCTTTATTTTTATTTATGTGGTGTATTACATTTATTGATTTTCAAATATAGAACCATCCTTGCATCCCCGGAATAAATCCCACTTGATCATGGTGTATGATCTTTTTAATGTATTGTTTGATCCTATTTGCTAATATTTTATTGAGGATTTTAGCATCTGTGTTCATCAGGGATATTGGCCTATAACTTTCCTTCTCTATAGTGTCTTTATCTGGTTTTGGGATTAGGAGAATGCTGGCCTCATAAAAAGAGCTTGGATATCTTCCCTCTTCTTGAATTTTTTGGAATAGTTTGAGGAGGATGGGTATTAATTCTTTAAATGTTTGGTAAGACTTACCAAGAAGCCATCCAGTCCAAGGCTTTTGTTTGCTGGGAGTGTTTTGATTACTGCTACAATTTCACCAGTTGTTATTGCCCTTTGAAGTTTTCTGATTCTTCCTGATTGAGTTTCGGAAGATTGTATGTTTCTAGGAATTTGTCCATTTCACCCAGGTTGTCCAGTTTGTTGGCATATAGATCTTCTTCTTTTTTTTAAAAGTATATTTTATTGATTTTGAGGAAGGAAGAGGGATAGAGTTAGAAACATCAATGAGAGAGAAACATCAATGAGAGAAAAACATCAATCAGCTGCCTCCTGCACACCCCCGAATGGGGATGTGCCCTCAACCAAGGTACATGCCCTTAACCGGAATTGAACCCGGGACCCTTCAGTTCACAGGCAGACTCTCTATCCACTGAGCCAAACCAGTTTCAGCTTCAAAGTATTTCCATTGTGTTTCTATGATCTTAGTTGTGTTCTTGCCTCTTTCATTTCTGATTTTATTTATTTGGGTCCTCTCTCTTTGTTTCTTGATGAGTCTGGCTGAAGTTCTATCAACCTTGTTTATCTTTTCAACGAGCCAGCTCTTGGTTTCATTGATCGTTTCTTTTTTCCCTTTTTCTCTCTTAGTCTTTTTGTCATTTATTTCTGCACTGACCATTATTATTTCCTGCCTTTTACTTACTTTGGGCTTTTGTTGTTGTTTTCTTTCTCATTATTTTATTATGCTATTATTTAACAGTATATTAGATATTATGTTTGAGACAGTAATAAATACAACATACCCTGGTGTCTTTTACAAGAATAAAATATAAGTACAAAGATAATTATCAAACACAGTCTTAACACTGAAATAGAAAAATGAAGAGTTTATTAAAACACTTTGAAGTCACTGCCTTATGCTACAACGTTAGAGATTGAGGGGAAGGCTAAGTACAAGGTTTTATTATTAAAAATATTAATATCCTCCTAGCCAATTTTTCTCAGTGGATAGGATGTTGGCCCATGGTTTGAAGGCTCTTGGTTTTGATTCTAGTTAAAGGCACAATCCCTGGCCCTGGTCTGGGCTGGTGCGGGAGGCAACCAATTGATGTGTCTGTCTGTCTGTCTGTCTGTCTCTCTCACATCATTGTTTCTCTCTCTCTCCGTGTCTCCCCCTCCCTTTCACACTTTCTAAAAATTAATGGAAAAATATCGGGTGAGGATTAACGAAAGAAAATTTTAATATCTAATGATGAGAATGATTTATCAACTGCCTCTTACATGCCCCCTACTTGGGGTCAAGCCTCCAACCTGGGCATGTGCCCTGACCTGGAATTGAACTGTGACCAGGTTCATAGGTTCTGCTCAACCACTGAGCCACACTGGCTGGGCTAGCATGATTTTTTTATGGGAGTACGTACATATTGCTCCTGTATCCCCCAAAGGTATTTTTAAACTCACAGTTGAAAAGACTCAAAGCTGAAAACATGCTAGTGAGATTTCCTTGGTTCATCAACTATTAACATTTAGCAACACTTCCATATCTTTCTGTACACACTACACTTTTGCCAAGCATTTTTTTGTAGTTTTTATAAAATATGTATTTTTGTTGATTTCAGAGAGGGAGAGAAAAAGAGAAACATCAATTATGAAAGAGAATCTCAGTCATTTTGGATAATAAAGAACATTATAAATTGATGAACAAAAAATAGATACAGATACAGTAAAGCAACAAACAGACTATCAAATTATAGCGGGGAAGGTAGGGAGAGATAAGAGATCAACCGAAGGACTTGTATGCATGCATATAAGCATAATCAATGGACGCAAAACTCTGGGGGATGAGGGCATGTATGGAAGTGGGGGGGGGGGCAGCGGTAAGATGTGGACACATATAATACCTTAATAAAAAAAAAGATAGTTCACCTAAAAAAAAAATTATGAGAATCATTGACTGCCTCCTGCACATTCCACACTGGGGATTGAGCCTGCAACCAGGCATGTGCCCTTGTCCAGAATTGAACCTGAGACCCTTCAATCTGCAGGCCGATGCTCTATCTACTGAGCCAAAGCAGCTAGTGCTATGAATTCAACTTTTTAGATTTTAGATATAAGTGATATCATGCAGTATCTGTGCCTGGCTTATTTTATTTCGTCTAGGTATATCCATGTTGTTACAATTGGTAGGATTTCCTTATTTTTAAGGCTAAATAATATTACATTTACACACACATACACCACTTCCTTTTAAAAAAAAATCCTTACTTGAGGATATGGTTATTGATTTGAGAAAGAGAGAGGAACATCGATTGGTTGCCTCCTGTACACATTCCAACTAGGGACTTTGACTGGGGATCAAACCCACATCCTTTCAGTCAGGACGATGCTCCAACCAGCTGAGCCACACAGGCCAGGGCCGTACCACATTTCCTTTATACAACACATGCATTCATCCAGTGACAGACACTTTGGTTGTTTCCATATCATGGCTATTGTGAATAGTATTACAGTGATCATGGGAATGCAGGTAGCTCTTTGAGATGATGATTTCATTTTCTTTCTTAAGTGGGATTGCTAGATCATAAGGTAGTTCTATTTTTAATTTTTTGAGGAATCTCCATATTGTTTCCCATTATGGCTTCACCGATTTACAGTCCCACTAGTAATTACAAGGGTTCCCTTTTTTTACATTCTTGCCAATTTGTATTTTTTGTCTTTTAAAAAATAAATATTGATTTCAGAGAAGAAGGGAGAGAAACATTGATGAGAGAGAAACATTGATTGGCAGTCTCCTGAATACCCCCTACTGAGGATCAAGACTGCAACCTGGGCATGTGCCCTGACCAGGAATCGAATGGTGACCTCTGTTTCATAGGTTGATGTTCAACCACTGAGCCATACCAGCGATGCTATTTTTTTTTTAATCTTTTTTATAAGTATTCTAACAGGTCTGAGGTGATATTTCATTGTAGTTTTGATTTGTATTTTCTGAGGATTAGTGGTGTTGATCACTTTTTCATATACCTGCTGACCATTTTTGTCTTTCAAGAAATGTCTATTAATATATTTTGCTCATTTTAAAATTTTGTTGATGTTATTATTGAGTAGTATGAGTTCTTTATATATTTTGGATGTTAATCTCTTATCAGACATAGGACTTACAAATATTTTCTTCCATTCTGAAGTTTGTCTTTTATTTTTCCCTACATTTGACATTCAATATTATGTTAGTTGTACGTGGATATCATAGTGGTTAGACATTGATGTAATTTGTGACATGATTCCCCCAGTAAGTCTAATACCCACCTGATACCATGCATAGTTATTATAATATATAGTTTGTCCATTTAAAGTGTTCAATTCAAAGGTTTTTGGTATATTTTTAATTGTGGCAAAGTATAACAAAAATTGCCATTTTAATGATTTTTAGGTATACAGTTCGGTGGTATTAATTACATTCACCATGTTGTGCAACCATCACTATTTCCAAAACCTTTTCATCGCCTCAAAGAGAAACTCTATAACCGTTAAGCAATACATCCCCATTATTTCTTCCCTCTAGTCCGTGGTAACCTCTAATCTGTTTTTTGTGTCTAATAATATGCATATTCTAGATATTGAAATATTGATTTCACTTATATGTAGAAACTAATGAACAAAATAAACTAACAAATAAAATAGAAACAGACCTACAGAAACAGACTGACAGCTAGCTGTCAGAGGGGAGAGGGATGTGGGCTGTGTGGAAAGGATGAAGGGATTAAAAAAGAAAAAACAACCACCTCAGGGACTCGAACAAAAGTATGGTGATTGCTAGATGGATAGGGGGAACAGGTGGGGGAGGTAGACGATGGTGAAGAAATGGTGAGGAAAGGAGACATGACTTGGGGTGGTAAACATACAGTACATATAGAATGTATTATAGAATTGTATACCTGAATCCTATATAATTTTATTAACCAATGTAACCCCCAATAAGTTCAATTAAAAAAAAAATTGAAAACCAGGAAACAGGTATTGGGGAGTATATGGAAAAATTGGAACCCTCATAAACATTGCTGGTGTAGCCACTATGGAAAGATTTGGAGGTTCCTAAAAAACTAAAAATACAATTCCATATGATTCAGTAATTCTACTCCTAAGTGTATACCCAAAGGAATTGTCCCTCGTCAGATGCTTGTACACCAATGTTCACTAAAACATTACTCATAATAGCCAATAGGTGTAAACAACCTCTAATGTTCATCAACAGATGAATGGATAAACCAAATGTGCTATATCCATACAATGGAATATTATTGAGCCAAAAGTAGAATGACATTTTGATACACTCTGTAACATAAATGAATTTTTAAAACAAGAAGCCAGACACAAAAGGACAAATATTTTAATATGTAGATTGTGTTTTCTCTCTGTTGATTGTTGTCTTTGCTGTGCAGTAGTTTTTAGTTTGATGTAATCACATTTGTTTATTATTGCTTTTGTAGTCTATGCTTTTGGTATTATATCCAAAAAGTTTTGCCAAGACCAATGTCAAGCTTTTTTCCTGTGTTTTCTTCTAGTAGTTTTACAATTTTAGGCCTTAAATAAGTCTTTAATCTATTTTCAAATGATTTTTATATCTGGTATATGATAAGGTCCAGTTTTGTTCTTCTGCATGGGAAACTCAATTTCCCAGTAGCATTTATTAATCAGACTATCCTTTTTCCATTGTGTGTTCTTGTCATCCTTGTTAAAGATCAGTTGGCTATAAATGTGTGGATTTATTTCTAACCTCTCTAGTCTGTTCATTTGGTCCATATGTCTGGTTTTATGTATGTACCATATTGTTTGGATTGCTGTGGCTTTGTAATATGTTGTGATACCTTTGACTTTGTACTTATCCAGGATTGTTTTTGCTATTTGAGGTCTTGCATGGTTTCAGATGAATTTTAGGATTATTTGTTTATTCATTTTTGTGAAGTATGCCCTTGGAATTTTGATAGGATTGCATTGAATCTGTAGTCCACTCCTGAATTTTTCTGTCTGCATCTCTTAAGGACAAGTAATTTTCCTTCACAAGCACATCTAATCACACATAAGAAAATCAGCATTAATTCAGAAGTGTGTCCCAGCATATATTTCATAATTTATTCCAATTGCCTCTAAAAGTGACCTTTATAGCTCGTCATTTGTCCTGCACCAAGATCCATTCAAACTTTATACATTGCATTTGGCCATTATTTCAACAATCTAGGATAGCTCTGTCTCCTTGGTGACATTGAAGACTATATAGAGAGTCCCGGCAAGTTGTCCTACAAAGTGCCCCAGGTTCAGGAATTTTTCACTTTCTTTATTATTATATTCAGATCAGACTTCTGATAAGAAATACCATAAGTGATATTATGCACCTGCCACTTTATTACTTCAGTAGACACATAATGTCAGGCTGTATATAAGACAATCATTGAACTCATAATATGTAGGAATGCTTCTTTAAGAGTGTATATATCCTGTTTCCCACAATCCTTCTACCTACTAATTCTAGCATTCATTAATGATTCTTATCCAAAACTTTGGTGCTTACAGTGTTGTGATTTTTAAAAACATTCTATCATTTTATATCACTTGTTAGAGAAACATTCAATTTAGATTTGGAGGGAATCATTGTTTTTTGAACTTACACATTCTTACCATTGCCAGGAGAAAAACTTTCAAAACAGCAACTACAGAGTTCTACCATCATTAAGAAATTAAGAGCTAAAGACAAAGAAAATGAAAATATTATTGCAAAGCTGAAGAAAAAAGGTAAAGAGCTAGAAGAAGAGTTGCATCATTTGAAACAGGTGAATGTCAATTATTTTCTATATAAATAATTATTCCTATATGAACAGTTCACTGTGGCTTATAAAATATTTGGAATGATTTATTGGGATATATCATGGGGGAAGTATTTTTTAATAATTTAATAGGCAAATGGTAAGATTATTCTTTATTGTTATAATACTTGAGATTCCTGGAATATACTTACTTACCTTAGTATTATTTATTGAAGAATACTTTTGCCTGTTTTTATAATATAGGTCCTTGATGGTAAAGAAGAAGTTGAGAAACAACATAGAGAAAATATTAAAAAACTAAATTCTGTGGTCGAACGTCAAGAGAAAGATCTTGGCCAACTTCAAGTGGGTATGAATGAACTTGAAGAAAAGAACCGAAGTATTCAGGCCGCTCTTGACAGTGCATACAAGTAAGAAAATGAATAAATATGCAACTCATTCACAATCTGTTAAATGCAGGATGTTGAAGAAATCCTTTTTCTGATCACTGACAACACGTAAATTTAGCAGTGAATGAACTTGTAACTTTTCAAAGCAAGTTCATCAGAAAGTACTTACTGCTGTGAACTCTCCCTCATTCTGTAAATCTAATGGAAAATTACATGGAACCTTTATGTTCTTGGCCATGTAATTACTGTAAATTTTTTTTTAAATTTTTTTTCCTTAATCCTCACCCGAGAGAGAGAAACATTGATGAGAAAGAAACTTCATTGATAGGTTGCTTCCTGCACGCCTAATGGGGGTTTGAGCCAGCAACCCGGGCATGTGCCCTGACTGGGAAGCAAACCTATGATCTCTTGGTTCCTGGATCAATGCACGGTCAATAAGCCACACCTGCCAGGATCCATTGATTTATAGAGAGAGTGGGAAGGGGAAAGGGGAGAGAGAGAAATATCGATGTGAGACACATCAATTGACTGCCTCCCATGTGTGTCCTGACAGCCAGGGATCAAGCCTGCAACCATGTACATGCCCTTGTCTGAAACTGAACCTGAGGCCCTTTGGTCTGTGGCTGACACACTAATCACTGAGCAAACCGGCCAGGACTACTGCATATTATTTTAAATAAAACTTACCAATCTAATTTTTTTAAGAGAACTTACTGATCTCCATAAAGCCAATGCTGCAAAGGCTAGTGAGGCACAGGAAGCTGCTCTGAGTCACGAGATGAAAGCTAAAGAAGAACTTTCTGCAGCACTAGAGAAGGTGCAGGAAGAAACCCGTCAGCAGCAAGAAGCACTGGCTATTCAGGTGAGCGGTGGAGGGCGAGTTACATTCGTCTTTTAGATCTTGGTGCTTCAGTGAATTAAAAATCTGTTAGTATGCGTCAAACCTCCTTTAGTGGTTCATTGTTACATTTCCTTTATAATGCTGTTAGGCAAACTTAATTGTGTATTTTTTTTAACTGTTGTTAAAGTGATGCTTAAATTATACAAGTATTACTTAATTTTTTGTGAATTTCAGACTTATTTGAGAATATTATGAAAGCTAAGACCTCTTACCAGAGAAATGCATATATTCAGAAAAATACTAAACATTCATATAAGTTAAAGAGAATCTATCCTGTTTCCCCGAAAATAAGACAGTGTCTTATATTAATTTTTGCTCCCAAAGATGCGCTAGGTCATATTTTCAGGGGATGTCTTATTTTTCCATGAAGAAAAATACGGTACACATTAATTGTTAATTGAAAATAAAGGAAATTTATTACCTGTATATGGTACGGTAGTACGGTAGTTGTCAACACAAACCAGACAAACTGAATCCTACAGTATCAAGAATATTCAATGACAATCATGTCATCATCTTCTGGAACATCATCATAACAATCCAATTCCTAAGTTTCCTGGTGAATTTCTTGTGACTCCATTTCTTTCAGAATCAGTGGACCAAATCTCTCATGTTTAGCCCAGGGGGGCCTTATTTTCAGGGAGATGCCTTATATTTCACTCAGAAGGAAACCTGTAAATAGGTCTTATTTTCGGAGAATGTCTTATTTTCGGGGAAACACGGTATGTAACTCCATGAAACCCAGATGGATGAGGAACCCCAAATTTGTCAGACTTTGTCTTATAAAATCATCAGTTGATGGTTGGTTGGATTTTTTACACTCTTTGTTAATATGAAAAGTGCTGTTTTAGACCTTCATTTATAGTTTTTTTGTGTGAACATATATTTTAATTTCTCTTAGACATGTACCCTCGAGTCATATGGTAGCTCTGTATTTAACTTTTTTGTGGAACTGTCATACTTCTCTGCAAAGATGTATCATTTTACATTCCCACCAGCGATATAAGAGGGTTTTAATTTCTCTACATCTTTCCCCATATTTTTTATTGTTGATTTTTTTTCAATGTAACCCCTTAGTGGGTGTGAAGTAATATCTGATTGTGGTGTCAATGACTAATGATGTTGAGCATCTTTTTATGTGCTTATTGGCCATTATGTATCCTCTTTAAAGACTTTTTTCAAATATTTAAATCCTTTGCTCATTTTTAAATTGAGTTGTCTTTTTATTAATCTATATATTCTATATACTAGACCCTTGTCCGAAACAAGATTTGCAAATATTTTATCCCATTTTATATAAGTTGTCTCACTTTCTTAATAGTGTCCTTTGATGCACAGAAGTTTTTTAATTTTGATAAAGAGGAAAGGAAGATTAAAAAAAAACCATATATAGTTTACTATTTATACTGTTAACAATTTGCTTTATTTACAAAATAAGTTATCTTTGTGATCATTCCATAGTAAAACATAGAACTTTTGTTTTAACCTAGAGCTTTTTAAAAAAATTATTTTTACAGTTATAATGCTTCATTGTATTCAGTCAGTTCTTAATAATGAATATTTGGGTTTAAGTTATGCAATGGTCCAAATACTCCTTGTGTTTCTAAATACACTAGAAAAATAAAGTAATAAAGAACAATTGGAGGAATGGGAAAGAGTGTAGGGTACTACCATTCATTCATAAAGTCATCACTTTTAGAAGTACTGTCAATTTTGTGTATTACCTTCTTCTTATTTCCATGTACATATTTTTATACTTTATATATTATTTTACATTTTTTTCATTTAAGATTAAATCATACACTTTTACATGTACCATAATTTTTTTTTTTTTTTTTTTTTACAGAGAGGAAGGGAGAGAGATAGAGAGCTAGAAACGTCGATGAGAGAGAAACATCGACCAGCTGCCTGTTGCACACCCCCTACTGGGGATGTGCCCGCAATCAATGTACATGCCCTTGACTGGAATTGAACCCGGGACCTTTCAGTCTGCAGGCCGACACTCTACCACTGAGCCAAACCGGTTTCGGCACATGTACCATAATTTTTTATGAGTATGTTTATGTCCTATTAAGACTTGTAAAAATAGATGACTACTGATAGATATTTAGAATATGTCATGATTTGTGTGTTATTGCTAATGTAGCTGATGGTATAGAGAACATGTCTGTGTTTATAGAGATCTCAGGACTAGCTTTCATAGCTCATGTAGCTATTATATGCAGCCTGCACTGCAGACATGTGTGGATGTCATCATCTCCCTTTTTTTTTTAATATATATTTTATTGATTTTTTACAGAGAGGAAGGGAGAGAGAGAGAGAGCTAGAAACGTCGATGAGAGAGAAACATCGACCAGCTGCCTCTTACACACCCCCTACCAGGGACATGCCCGCAACCAAGGTACATGCCCTTCACCGGAATCGAACCCGGGACCCTTCAATCTGCAGACTGACGCTCTACCGCTGAGCCAAACCGGTTTTGGCGCCATCATCTCTCTTATCTTATGGGGCAGTGGCTGTGCCTTGTACACACGCACACACACACACTTTTTTTTTTTTTTTTTTTTGCCTAACAACCTAACAATACTTTTCTTAGTACAAAGTGAACACACATATAGTTTCGGAATTGCTTGATGAATGAGATGTGTGATAATCAGATGTTAAAGCTCATTGAATAGAATAGAGTATTATACATAAAGAGTAAGTCAACAGAACACGGAATATGTAGTTAGCATGCAGTTACAGACAATGTTTGAGACAGTGATAGTGTATTGGTTTTCCTCATGCAGGTGGGAGACCTGAGGCTGGCCCTGCAGCGTGCGGAACAAGCAGCTGCCAGGAAGGAGGATTATTTGCGCCACGAGATCAGTGAGCTCCAGCAGGTGCGGCCAGTTCTTTTAGAAATAAAAAAGTGACCTGGCGGAATGTTTGTGGAATTGGGAGGATTACTGCCATATGTATCATTTGCTATGCAACTTCAATCGACTTGCCTCATGATAAATACTTAGAAATTGGATGAGGAGGCCACTACAGGGAGGTTTGGATGATCCTCTGTTTACCTTATGATGGTCAAAGGCTCTCTTGATCTTAGCAAATGCTTTCTAAAAGAGCACTTAACAGATATTCAACTTATCTTGCAACATAGCGCTAACTGAAGGATTGAATAATTATAAAATAATTTAATTTAAAAAGTAATTCTATCTTGGAGAAGTAATTTTTTCCCAGAAATCCCATAAAGATTGTTTGCTAGTGTTTTTATTGTTACCAGTGGTAATAACTTAAGAATTTCATGATTCAGAGACTCCAGGAAGCCGAGAATCGAAACCAGGAACTGAGTCAAAGTGTTTCATCAACGACAAGACCATTGCTTCGACAGATAGAAAATTTGCAGGCAACACTAGGGTCCCAGACGTCGTCGTGGGAGAAGCTGGAGAAGAACCTCTCTGACAGGCTGGGTAACTGCTTTAGTTCTTAGCTCAGGGCAGAAGCCCTTTCCTCTTGTCTGGGGAATGAGGGGAATGGTCTGAAACTGAAATTCACTGATCTGATAGTTGTATTTTGTGTCTGACTTGTGGATTTTTACCTCTTTTCCTTTTTTATGTTATTTTCTAATATCTTAATTGGTTCTCAGATCATTTGTTTTCCCTAACACAATATATCAGATACTATCTAAATTACTTTCATGTCATTTTTCATTCATATTTACAGACTACTGCATTCAGCTTTCCCCTTGTTTGTTGTGAATCTGACCTTTTTCTAGCTTGTCTGCAATAGTGTGAAAGGTGCAGAACAGATACGTTCTAGTCAGTGGAGGAGCTTCAAGAGCAGAGCCAGGTCTGTGGGGATCAAAGTTAAATAAATCTAGTATTCAGGTGCCATGCAGTCCTAAGATTTCATATTCTGCTTCTTTACAGGAATGCCCCCGTTTGCCCTTCTGTGCTGTTAATAAAAAGAAAATCATTTTTCCAAGATGTTGATTTCAGCACAGACAGGTGATACATGTAAATACTAGATATCCCTGAAGCTAGCAAATTCATGAAAAGTCCATGGAATTGGAGAGACATCATAGTGTAGTGATCAAAGCAGACCTGACTCAGGACTCTGCTTTGCTTTGTGTGAAGCAAGTCATTTCCCTTTTCTGGGCTCCTTGCTGCAAGTCCTGAGCATCGAACTAAGTCTGGCTTTCAGGTGGCCTCGGTGGCTCCTCAGGGCAGCTCCTCCTCAGGGCTCCTCCTCAGGACTCCTCAGGGCTTTTCCTCAGGGCGGCTCCTCGGGGCGGCTCCTCAGGGCTGGCTCCTCTGGGCTGGCTGTCGGAGAAGCTCACAGGGACATGCTGGGCCTCCAGCTGCTTCGGTGGAAGTAGTGCCTCCGTTGTCTATCTTTTTTTGAGTTTCATGTTGGATTTTGTGTCAAAAAAGACTTACCTGGTTAAAAAGAAAATCACAGAACTAGATGACCATATATTGTTTAATTTATATGCATGCATCTTAGATCTGTCATCTCTGTCAGTTTGAGAAAATTTGTTATGAAATGTGAGGAATCTGAAAATGATCCTGAAACAAATACCTGTCTAGCACCACGCGAGGCTAGCAGCCCCTGGTTGTTGCTCTGCGCTGGGTCTGCACCCTCTCGGGGACAGGTGGCATTGGTGGGAGAGGCAAAGCCACAGGACACACAGCCTGGGACGCTGCTAATAGGACCATAGCCGAAACCGGTTTGGCTCAATGGATAGAACGTCGGCTTGGGGACTGAGGGGTCCCGGGTTCGATTCCGGTCAAGGGCATGTACCTTGGTTGCGGGCATATCCCCAGTAGGGGGTGTGCAAGAGGCAGCTGATCGATGACTCTCTCTCATCGATGTTTCTAACTCTGTCTCTCTCCCTTCCTATCTGTACAAAATCAATAAAATATATTTAAAAAAAAATAGGACCATAGATGCAGTATAATTGAACATTTTTATTGAGGTAATCGTAGATATACATGCTATAATAATTCTCACTTTCTCTAGTATATCCAAATGCTAACACTTTGCAGAACTATAATATTGCAACCAGGGTATTGACACTGATAGTTTACTGATTTTATTCAGATTTCCCCAGTTTTGTTGATACTCGTTAGTGTGTGTGTGTGTGTGTGCTTCTGGGTGTTTATTAAGTTCTACACAATTTAATAAAGAAATGAAGCCCGGCTAGCATGGCTCAGTGATTGAGCATTGATCTGTGAACCAGGAGATCACGGTTAGATTCTCAGTCAGGACACATACCCAAGTTACGGGCTGGAATACCAAATGGAGGTGTTGTGCAGGAGGCAGCTAATCAATGACTCTCTCATAAAGTCCCTTCCTCTCTGAAATCAGAAATCAATGTGTGTGTGTGTGTGTATAATATTGACAGAGAGAGAGAGGGAGAGAGAGAAAGAGAGAGATCAAGCAATTCCAACATCTCAAAGACTCCCCCTCATGTTCTTTTATAACCACACTCTAATCTGTCCTGTGTTTTGAAAACTTCGGAATTTCAAAATGTCATATGAATAGAATTGTATAATTTGGGGATTGGCTTTTTTGCTCAGTATAATTCCTTGGAGATGCATCCAAATTGTGTGTGTCAATAATTAGGTTTTTTTGTTTGTTTTTTTAATATATTTTATTGATTTTTTACAGAGAGGAAGGGAGAGAGATAGAGAGCTAGAAACGTTGATGAGAGAGAAACATCGACCAGCCGCCTCCTTCACAACCCCACTGGGGATGTGCCCATAACCAATGTACATGCCCTTGACTGGAATCGAACCTGGGACCTTTCAGTCCGCAGACTGACGCTCAACCACTGAGCCAAACCGGTTTCAGCAATAATTAGGTTTTTTATTACTAGGTGTTTTTTTTTTCCCAAATTTATTTTATTGATTTTTTACAGAGAGGAAGAGAGAGGGATAGAGAGTTAGAAACATCGATGAGAGAGAATCATTGATCAGCTGCCTCTTGCACACCCCTCACTGGGGATGTGCCCGCAACCAAGGTACATGCCCTTGACTGGAATCGAATCTGGGACCTTTCAGTCCGCAGGTTAACGCTCTATCCATTGAGCAAAACCGGACTTGGCACTAGGTGTTTTTTTCATATGTATGTATCATGTTTTGTTCATTTGATGAAGGCTGTATGAGCTGATTCTAGATTTTTTTTCGGTACAGATAAGTTGCTCTGATGAACATTCACATATAAGTTTTAATGTGAACATAGTTTTTTATTTCTCTGGATAAATGCCCAAGTATGCAATTGCTGAGTTGTTTGGCTAGTTGTATTGTTTTTAAAGAAAATGCCAAACTATTTTCCAAAATGCCAAACTATTTTCCAAAATGCCAAACTATTTTCCAAAATGGTCCCTACTGGGGATTGAGCCCGCAACCTGGACATGTGCTCGGACCAGTTATGAAGCCACCAACCTTTTGGTGCTGGGACAATGCTCAACCAACTGAGCCTCTCCGGCCAGGGCCCAGTTTTTTATACAGTCATCCAGACAGGTGTGCAGTGATATCTATTACGATTTTAATGTGCATTTCCCTGATGACTTATCATGTTAACATTATTTCATATGCTGCTTTTATTTTTCTCTTATTTTTATTGCTGATAAGTTTATTTTCTATTTGTGCATTCTCTTTGGTAAAATTGTCTGTTGAAATCTTCTGCCCATTTTCTATTCGGATTGTTTGTATTTTCACTGTTGAGTTTTGAAACTTGTTTATATAGTGTAGATACTAGTTTTCTGTAGATTTTGTGGTTTGCATTTGTTTTCTCCAAGTCTGTAGTTTGTCTTTTCATCCTGTTCACATAGAGCAAAAGTTTAAAATTTGGAAAAAGTCCTTCCTTGGGCAATAAGCAGTGAGAGTTTTAAGTGTGGCTACTTGCATCATTGGAAGTCAGAACTACTTGGTGTCTTGGCCTCGTGGGTATATGCGTATGTGAATTCTCTTTTTTCTTCATTCAGGTGAATCGCAGACCTTGTTGGCAGCAGCCGTTGAAAGAGAACGTGCGGCTACAGAAGAACTCCTTGCCAACAAAATTCAGCTGTCTTCCATGGAGTCACAGAATTCTCTCTTAAGACAGGAAAACAGTAGATTTCAGGCCCAGCTAGAATCAGAGAAAAATAGGCTAAGAAAACTGGAAGATGAAAAAAATAGGTGAGCATATTTCTTGAGTTATTTTTGGTACTTGCTGACATTTTAAAGCATTTAAAAACATGTGCTCTTGGCTTTTAGCTGCATGGCCCTGAGAACTGGAAGTACACACTCTTAGTGTTTAAAGTTAGGGTCATTAGCAATAGGATATTGCATCAAGACAGCACTGGGATTTGTTGACTCTAACTTGTATTCTGAAAATTGTGTTGCATGTTCTATATGCACATTTTCTAGAAAAAAGATTCATTGCTTGAATTGGATTTGTTAAAGGAGTCTGACCGGAAATAGTTTGGAAATCTATTGGAGTTATTTTTATATAAATGTACTGGTTCTTTGGAAACCACAAGCTATAAAATATATCCACCTGAAATTATATAAGGCTATCTTTATATAAAGGCTATGATTAGTGCATTTTTACCCTCAGTTCTTTCTTGGAAATTTTACTTTTAAAAATGTAGTCAAGTAAAAATGACTTATAAAGTAAAATACCTGAACTTTTGCAAACATTTTCATTGGACCCCCTAATAAGCTTTTGCAGAATCTGAACATATTATGGAATGGTTGCATTCAAAATTCTTTTTAGGAAATCTCTTTTTAAATGAAATCTTAACCCAAAGCACCAATAAATACAATGCACAAAGGAATAGTTTGACTTCTGAGTAAAACCCAAGTCATTTGGATAAAAGCAGTAGGAAAATCAGTCTGGTAAAAAAATGACTACATATATGTAGCTGGAGTACTCACTAATAAAGTAGTGAGTTTTAATAATCTATACTATCACCTTTTTTGTTTTGTTTCTTTCCCTCTGGCTTAATAGGTACCAGGTTGAATTAGAAAACGTAAAAGATGATTATGTGAAAACACTTGAAGAGACAAGGAAAGAAAAGGTATTTCTGTTAGCTGCGCGCTAGGGGGTGGTAGCAAACTACTGACAAGATGAAATGAGTGAGCTTACTGCTTTTGGGACTGGCTCTTTAGTAAGACAAATAGGGCCTTTTTTTTCATGCTACTAATTTTGAGATTGACTTTTGGGGATGATGTAGTATAGGAATTAACTAACTGTATTTCTCTCCATTAGACACTGTTGAACAGTCAGTTGGAAATGGAGAAAATGAAAGTTGAACAAGAAAGGAAGAAAGCCGTTTTTACTCAAGAAGCAATAAAAGAAAAGGTATTGGATTTTTTTTATAACCAGTTAGTAGCTGTTGTGATTAATCATTGTTTTGTAATTTTAGTTGCACTTTATAAATAACATTTCTTATGTCTAAAATCAGTAGTGTGATGAACTGTAGTAATGTAATCAGTGTCTTGTTCAGAGTAGATCCAAAATAATTTGAGTTTATCCAAACAGATCTGTGATTTCTAGGATTTGAATTGTAGAACCTCTTTTTAAAAGTGAATTTTCTATATTTAAAGGATTGGAATGTACTCAGTAGTTAGTATAATAGATAGAAACTACCTGTAATAACATTGAAATTACCTTTTAAATTTATTTGGAATTTTTAAAAATAAAGTGGATGAGCCAGAAACTTTTTATGGTTTATAAAACTCATTGGTAATCTTATTCTAAAGAAATAGGCTTACCCCCACCAGTGTGGCTCAGTGGTTGAGTGTCAACCTATGAACCAGGAGGTCACAGTTCCATTCCCAGTCAGGGCACAGGACCAGGTTTCTGGATCATATAGGAGCAGTGATCAATGATTCTCTCTCATCATCGATGTTTCTCTCTCTCTCTCTCTCTCTCTCTCTCTCTCTCTCTCTCTCTCTCTCTCTCTCTCTCTCTCTCTCCACACACACACACACACTTTTCCCTCCCTCCCTCCCCTTCTCCCTCTTTTCCTCCATCTATCTCCCTCTTCCTTTCCCTTCCTCTCTGAAATCAATTTAAAAAGAAAGAAATAGGTTTAGTCTGCCCTGGCTGTTGTATCTCAGTGGTTATAGCATTAGCTCACGCATTGAATGTTCAATTCCCAGTCAAGGGCAGGTACCTGGCTTGCAGGTTAAATCCCTAGTCCTAATTGGGCTGCGTGCTGGGGGCAGCCAATTGATGTGTCTCTCTCACCTTGATGTTTCTCTGTCTCTTTCATTTTCTCCTTCTCCCCTTTCCTCCCTCCCTTCTACTCTCTCTAAAAATCTGGAAAAAATATCCTTGGTGACTAATAACAACAACAAAAGAAGAAATAGGTTATATAATATGAAGCAATGAGTTCATATTATTGTTTAAATAAAAGAACATTTTAGCCCTAGCTGATTTGGCTCAGTGGATAGAGTGTTGGCCTGCAGACTGAAGGGTCCTGGGTTCAATTCCAACCAAGGGCACATGCCTGAGTTGCAACCTCAATCCTCAGTGGGGGCGTGCAGGAGGCAGCTGATCAATGATTCTCTCTCATCATTGATGTTTTTATTTCTCTCTTCTCCGTTCCTCTCTGAAATAAAAAAAAAATTTAAAGAATACATTTTCATTCCATTAAAAATCAAATTATGTCATTGCAATATACATGAGTCCCTAGATGATTTGACCAATTCTGTCTATACTTTTAGATTACCAAATATTGTGCCTTGCAAGGATAAGACTTCAGAAATTATATCTGTAACATTTTATGAGGAAGTTAGAATGAGTCTTTGTTGTCATTAATCTTAGAAAAGTTTCTTTTTGTTTTATTTATCACTTTGCTCTTTAATCCAAACTGAATTTTTTTCTTACTCTTTATAGGAACGAAAACCGTTTTCTGTTTCTAGCACGCCCACGCTGTCACGATCAAGTTCAATAAGTGGAGTTGAGATGGCAGGGCTGCAAACATCTTTCCTGTCTCAGGTGAAGTTTTACTTCATATATGTGCTTATTCCTAAACTGAGTAATGATAAAAGGAATGTGCAGGTAGCAGTTAGCTTGTCACCATGATCTTGCCATGCCATAGGCAATTCATCTAAATATTTGTGAAACTGAGGAAGTATAGATGATTTTCTGCCTTTGAGAGTCAGACATTTTAAAGCAAGAATTGACAGAATCTTTTTTTTTTTTTTTTGAACCTTATAAGGGCATACAGTCTATATTCTGAATAATATTGTGTGTTTTCTTAACATAGGATGAGCCTCCTGATCTCTCACTGGGACCGATGTCTGTATCAGCAAACGGAAGCAATCTTTATGAGGCTGTAAGGATGGGGGCAGGATCCAGCATTATTGAAAACCTACAGTCTCAGCTGCAACTAAGGGAAGGAGAAATTGCTCATTTACAGGTATTGGAAAATTAAATATGCTATGGAAGTAAGTGAAAATCTGAGGGCCAATACGTAAACCTGAATTTATATTCACCTGAATTCTGAACAAGTGTAGAAATAAAATGAAGTGGTGGCATGTGAAGACCAAAATGTATCACATGTAGTAATGATAAGGGCTAGTTGGAGGAATTCACCCAGGATAAGAGCCAAGTGAGTCTGCTGAGGGCCTAACTCCGTCCCGGGAAATGCTGGGCTGGAGTAGGCCTCCCCAGGTGGGGTAGCTGCCCAGGTAAGTTGCAGGCATCAGGGCAGAACACTCCTTTCAAGACGCTTTCCGCACATTACAAAGAAAAGCTGTTGCCTAGCTGGCAAGTCTCAGTGTTTGATTACTGGTCAGGGCCATCCCCTGGTTGCGGGCTCGATCCTCAGTAGAAGCGTACAGGAGGCAGCCTAGCAGTGGCTCTTTCTCATCACTGATGTCTCTTGTCTCCCTCTCCCTTCTGCCCTCATTTATTTATTTATTTATTTATTTATTTATTTATTTATTTTTAAACTTTTTAAAAAAATATATTTTATTGATTTTGTACAGAGAGGAAGGGAGATAGAGAGCTAGAAACATCGATGAGAGAGAGAGTCATCGACCAGCTGCCTCCTGCACACCCCCTACTGGGGATATGCCCGCAACCAAGGTACATGCCCTTGACCGGAATCGAACCCGGGACCTTTCAGTCCCCAAGCCGACGCTCTATCCATTGAGCCAAACCGGTCTCGGCCCTTCTGCCCTCTTTTAAAAAATCAATAAATAAAACATAGTTCAAATAAAAAGGAAGTTGCTTATCTGAGCATATCATTTTATTCTTCCTGGATTTACCACTCATATAAGTTGCTCTGACTCCCGTGAGGAATGAGCAGAGAGATTAGAACTACAACCTGTGCACATGAAAGTAAACATCGTAAGTGGGAAGGGAGGAGCTGCTCATCATATCTTGACTTTTAAAATATAATGTAGTGAGAAATGTTAAAATGTTTAACCGATTTTTGTTAAACTTGATACACTCAAAAGTAAAACTTTCATTTATTCCCATTGTATGACTTTAGTAAGTTGAAAATATTAATCTATTAAAGAAGATCTTGAATTGGGGAAAAAAAAAAATAGGTTAGAATAATCTTAATACTTATGTTTAAATAGCCCAGAATGCTGTGCTTGAGGGACCAAATGAACATTTTTGGTAGTCTGTCAATATGATCTACCCCGTTGGAGATACACGAAAGTATGGTTTTATTTCTCAGGGATTTTGTAGTAATTTAGAATAACTTAAATATATGCTATTTCCTTAGATTAGAGAAAAATATAAGGTTGCATAGTTCAAACAGATGATTGAATTCTCTTTAGTTCTTTGTCTGTCATGGTACACCCTATCAGTGGTACACCTCTGAAGAAAGTTGAAACCTTTTTTTTGTCACTATTTCCTTAAGAGCTACCTCAGGGTTATATGCTGTTATATTTTTCTTTAAAAATAACACATTAAATATGTTTATATTAGTAGAAACATTAAACCACATATATTTTTATTTAAATTTCTTTCTGATAATATTTCTCAGGTAGAAATTGGCAGTCTAGAAAAAACACGGTCCATAATGGCTGAAGAGCTAGTTAAATTAACAAATCAAAATGATGAACTGGAAGAGAAAGTGAAGGAGATACCCAAACTTCGAACTCAACTACGAGTAAGTATTCTTTACTTAAGGTGAACCTAAGATATTTTAATCCTGTTACATTAAATCACATATTTTTAATTTATGTAAAATGTATATATGTTAATGATTTATTTGAAAATTAGAGTATTAGTATTTCAGTAAATAACTTTAAAGGTAAATCTTTTATCTTACCTCATTATATAGTCAAAGCATTTTTCGCAATCATGTTTAATCTCATTTGAAAAATAACTAGATTTTATTTGGTCAAGGATCATTTATAAAACACTTTCACCATATGTATTATCACCATACTATTGTTTATTAATATATATATATCACAATTAGCATATTTGGTATTAGTAATCACTATTAAGCCGTATTTAATTTGGGTAAATGCCAGGTAATACTTAAACCACAGTGAACCAAAGAGACTAAAATATCATCAGATGTGCTTCAGTTAATTGGAGAAATCACTGATTAAGCTATATAGGGGGGAAATTGTAGATTTAGTGGAGAGATTGATAGCCATTTGCCCAGCCAGTGTGGCTCAGTAGTTGAACTATGAACCAGGAAGTCACAGTTCAGTTCCTGGTCAGGGCACATGCCCATGTGGTGGGCTCGATCCATAGTGGGGGGCATGCAGGAGACAGCTGATCAGTGATTCTCTGTCATCATTGGTGTTTCTATTCCTCTCTCCCTCTCCCTTCCTCTCTGAAATCAATAAAAATAGATTTAAAAAACCCTAAAATAGGTGGGGTTATTTTAGCATTTGTAAACATTTAATTAGCATCTGTTGCATTAAAAAGTATTAAACACCTATATATTCAGGATTATCTCGTGTGTTTTTTTTCCCCTGCAGGTTTTCATTGAAAAATATGAATACTCCATATGTTTCTTTTCTAGATAGATAATGATTTATTCTAAAAATCTAAAGATCTTTGGATTTGTGCTGTTATTACTGTATAAAGCTTAACAATTTTATTTGGAGACAATGAAGAATAAAGATGAGAGACCCAGTACCATTCTGATTAGGAATAATAGCCCTGGGTAATCATAGAACACCAGACAACAAGAAATGCAATTCAGATAAAAAATTAACACAATGAAATGAAAATGTATTCCTCATTGTCCTTGAACATATCTATGTACATTTGACACACTGATGCTTTTTTCTTAGGGTAATCTACTCCATGTTCTTGTAGGACATTAGAACACAATTTCAACAAGAAGCTGTGAATTGTTCCCCAGGCACTGATGGGAGAATTTGCTATGGAATTGGGAATGGGGGTATTTATTCTTGTACTAGAGGCCCAGTGCATGAATTTGTGCACCAGTGGGGTCCCTAGGCTTGGCTTGTGGGATCAGCCGAGACTAGTTCTCTGACATCCCCCAAGGGGTCCCAGATTGGGAAAGGGCAACAGGCCAGGCCGAGAGATCCCACGGGTGCATGATTGGGGCTGTAGAGGGACATGGGGGTTGGCCTGCTGGGGAGGGGCACGTGAGGGCTCCAGAGCATGTCTAGCCCATCTAGCTCAGTCCCGATCACCCGGACCCCAGCAGCAAGCTAACCTACCCATCAGAGCGTCTACCCCCTTGTGGTCAGTACATGTCATCATAGCGAGCAGTTGAGCAGCCTTAACATACATTAGCATATTACGCTTTGATTGGTTGAATGGCCAATGGATCAACAGGACACTTAGCATATTAGGCTTTTATTATATAGGAATTTGGTCTTCCATTATTTTCATTTCTGTATGTCTTGTGTTGTTTCTGGCTCTGCTCCAATGCTTTCCATGCTGTCTGGCGTCCGTGAAAGGGAAGGTTGTTTTCTGCGTTTGGAAACACCTTCCAATGGTGAGGGCACTAACCATCGGCAGTGTGAGCATGACAATCCCTGTGCCTGTGCTGCAGCAGCAATTGAAATAAAAAAAAAAAAATTTACTTATTTAAAAAAATCAGTGACTACTTCCATGGCATATGTTCAGATTTGGCTAGCATTTGTTCATGCCTATTTTGTACTAGAATCGTATTTACACTTAACATTTGTTATTTAATTAAATTGTTCCATATAAGCCTAACTCAACAAAGAGGCATATGTTAATTGCCTGAAATTCAGAAATGAGCAATGAAATTGTTTCTGTTAATATAAGCATACGTGATAGTCAAGTTTCAATGTTCTAAGTCTCAGGATGGACACTTCATTTTATTTTTTATTTAAGTAATGTTATTTAAATATACTATTTTATTATTTTAATGAAGCTACATGTGCTTGTTGTAGAGTAATTTTAATAGTATAAATAGTAAAATTAAGATTGTGTTCCTGCCACCTAGAGGCAACAATTATTAACTCATTTCTGTATTAGCTTTCAGCCTTTTTTAGGGCGTGTGTGTGTGTGTGTGTGTGTGTGTGTGTGTGTGTGCACGCATGTGCTATTTTAACGTTTTTGGGTTCATACTGTAAATACATTTTATATTCTACTCTTAATTCACTTGATATTGTATTGTGAAAATGTTCCCATATTGTTAGAGTAATCCTATGGCTATATCATAATTTAGTTAATTCCCTGTGGTGGCTGTGGAGGTGGTTGTGAGTTTTTTAACTTGATTTTTAAAAGGTGCTATAAACAACTTTATGCATAAATCTCCTTCAAAACCTCTGGCTCTTTGTTTAGGCCTGGGGTTACTGGGCCTGCCTGTGCTTTTGTTTGATGCCCTGGAGAAATGGCTTTCCATTCCAGACACTTCTTTGAGTCAGGACACCTGGTGTGAATGACCTGGTATTTTCACACCTTTGGGGTCGACAGTGCTTGATTGTATGTTTGTATGTGTAGGGGACATACGTAGTAGTCTTTTCAGGTTTGCCTTTTTCTTAGCAGAAATTCTTGCTAGACCCAAGCCATAAACTGACCAGCTCTGAGTCTTAGTTTTGTTGGAAGTGGGAATTTCAATTTTAAGATGGTCTTTACAGGTATTTTAATATGATGTCAGGAGCAGCTCAAAAATGCTAGCCAGATACACGGTACTGATCACTTAGCATATTAAGACACTTATAAGTTAGTATAATATTAACTTAATATTTAGTTAATATTAATTTTTTATAATTAAAAAGTTATTATTTTAATCTTAAAAACCTCTATCCTCCCAGGGCACTTTAAAGATACTTTTGAAGGTAATCTTTGAAGTTTCTGTAGAACTAATCATTTTCCTAAAAAGTAAAGAAATACGGCATGACAAATGTGCAAAATAAATCTGTAGGAGGACAGAAGAGTGATTGCCATGTGGATGGTTTTTTTTTTTAAGTTCCTTTACTTGCTATTTATTCCAACAGGCTGGAGTACGAATTTAATTTTCATAAGAGCTGACTATATAGTTTTATTTAGATTTAGTGTATTTATTGTGACTTGTTTATGATAATATAAATATAATCAAGATGTTCTGTACAGTTTATAAATTGTAAACAAATCTGTTTTGTAGGATTTGGATCAGAGATACAACACTATTTTGCAGATGTACGGAGAAAAAGCAGAAGAGGCAGAAGAACTTCGATTAGATCTTGAAGATGTAAAAAATATGTATAAGACTCAAATAGACGAACTTTTAAGACAGAGGCTCAGTTAACGTCTGAAAATTACATTCCCATCAAACTGAATGTAGTCATTTAATAACAAAATACAGACTTTCAATAAATTCTATTATAAATTAGAAAGTGGAATTTATTATAGAGTTAAAAAATTGAAGGAAGTTTTATAGTATATAGTAATATTTGCAGTTAAATTATTTTGTGCAATATTTGAACTTTATTTTTGAAACTATCTTTAAAGATTTATTTTTTAAAGCATCTTCTCCCTCCCCCGCCCATGAATAGCACCAAGATTTATTACTTTATCCTTATATCAGTGTGGTTAGGGAAGAAGAATGCTTTTCATACATTGTATTATAGATAAAAACTAATTATATCTATAATTTATATGTGTTTGTATATACTGAGAACATTTAATGAGTGATATTGACATATTGAAACTGCAATCTTTCACATTTAAATCTTCAACATTTCTAATTACTGCTCATGAAAATGGATATTAAGTGCCCAATTAAAAAACTTCCTGTTAATAAATTTTGAACTGAATATTTTTCCTTTAAAGTAGAAGTCACACTGACACAGAAGATTAAAGGACGAATAAATTAAAAACATTTTTATGGCTCTAGCCGGTTTGACTCAGTGGGTAGAGCCTGCAGACCAAAGGGTCCTAGGTTCGATTCCAGTCAAGGTCACATACCTTGATTGTAGGCTCCTTCTGGCCTAGGCCCTGGTCAGGGCTTGTGCAGGAGACAGCCAACTGATGTTCTCTCACATCAGTGTTCTTTCTATCTTTCCCTCTCTCTTCCACTCTCCCTAAAAATCAATAAAAATATCTTCAGGTGAGGATTAACAACACCACCACCACCAACAACAACAAAAAACCACCAAAAAAACTAAAAACATTTTTGTGGTCTGAAGATTTATTTTACCCAGATTCCACAGTTATTCTGTACAAATTGTGTTACTATCTGGAGAAAGCTAAGTTATGCAGTTATCTAGGCATGGTTGGATAATGGGGAAAATGTGCTCACAGTGATTTGTGATGGTAATCAGTAACATTTAAGCAATTTTGAAGAGGTTTTTACTATCCTATGAAATAAATCAACATAAAATTGTTAACATAATTTTCTCTCAAAATTTTTCACATTTTGTAAAACCTTATTTGTAGCACATTAAAAATGAATGTTTCATATTACAGAACATTCATAACAAAAATAGAGAAATTGTAGGAATCAATTTAAATTTGGCATTTGTAGTTCTGTGTAATTTATCATTTTATTTTTTCCTTGAACCTTTAAACACAAACACAGTGCAAATAGCTATAAAAAATAGCTATGCCTTCTTCCCAATGTTATTTTATTCAGAAGTTAACCAGTCTGTGTTGTATACTTATGAAATATTTTAATACCTTTTATTACTGAAAGTCATTTCACTGCCTTTGCTTACAAATAAAAATTCTCAATTGTGAGTTAAATTTTAAACACTAGAGCTTTGGAGTATAACTATAAGTAAACCATGTTAAGGAATTGAATACTTTTCAGGGTAATTCAAGTGACATTTTTTCTTTCCTTTTTGTATTCTAGCCCCTATTTCTGGCACTGGATTTCTGGTGTTTATTTAGCATTAATAAATATTCTTTCAGAGAGAGCCAAATTCATAAAATTACATTTCTATATTTTAGTGGTATATCAGTGTAATCTTTGTCACCTTGATTTTTTTTTTTTTTAATTTAAATTTAGGGCTGACAGGAAATGGCAAGACTGATAGCAATAAGAAATATACAGAAGATATAGGAAACTTAAGTTGCAAAATTCTGACAAATGTTTGAAATTAGAAGTTTAGGAATTATGAAATTGTTTTTAAAATATTCATTAGTGAGAGAAAAAAACCCTTTAGTTGTGGGGAAAATTGAAATAAAACTATATCTTCTATTTTCATATTAAACATTCTCTTCTCTTAATCCTTCTAAACATTAATAAAACCAGTTCAACTTAAAACTTTAAAGTGTTTTCAATTTATTTAATTAAAAAATTCAAAGCAGCTAATTTCATCTCTGGCTGTATATTACCATATGTTGTTCTTTATCTGCAAATGAATAGTTGATGCTCACACTGATCCTATTTTACTGCAAACCTAGATATCTCAATACATTTATAAGTTGAGAAGTATACTAAATCAATTTCTTCAAAGACTCCACTAAGTAAAAGAATATATTGAATATTGGTTGCCATATTTTGCTTTGTCATTAAGGCTTCTCCATATTCTAATAAAATAATATTTTAATGGATAATATAGTTTGCAGTTAGATGTTTCTATTCTTGGAAGAAAACAGAAAGATACTACAAATCTTAATTTCAAGAATATGAAAGAAGTGTAAAAGAGGTACCAACATTATTTTTTATGTATAGACATTTAAGCACAGATGGTGGGCATCCTTCCAACTCTGGGGAAACTAAATTGAGAATACCATTCCTTTTCCCCCTTTGCTTCTGTTTTGAGAACTAGTGTTACAGTACTTAGCACATGGAGGACTGTATCTATATTGTAATTTAAGATATTCCAAGTATGGATAATTTCTGACCTAAGGAAACAGTTTTTGTAGTTAAATGAAAAAAATGTTCAGCCTAGTTGGTGTGGTTTAGTGGTTGAGCAGTCGACCTATATGATCCAGGAGGTCATGGTTCAATTCTCCATTAGGGCACATGCCTGGGTTGTGGGCTTGATTGACAGAGTGGGGCTTGCAGGAGACAGCTGACCAATGATGCTCATCATTGATGTTTCTATCTCTGAAATCAATGAAAATAAAAGAAAAAGAATGTTCAGGAAAAATTTGATCTTAAAATCCCTCAATTGGCATTTGATTTATTAATTGAATTAATAAATTAGCCATAGGAAAACAAATGAATATTAGAAGTATATGATTTATAGTATTTAGAAAGTAGTGCCAAGGCCGGTTTGGACATTTTAATTTTAAATGAAATAATCCTATCTAATAAAGAGGGAATATGCTAATTGACCATCACTCTGTCACAAAGAAGACTGCACCCACAGCGGAGGCCAAGTTCCCATAAGGAGCCTTAACAAGCAATCAGCAGGGACCTGAGGCTATGCCCTCCCCTGCCCCTGTGGGGCTTGACAGTGGAACTTGGGTCATGCCCCCCATCCAGCGGGGCTTGACAGGGGATCTCAGGCTGTATCTCCCACCTGGCGGGTCTTGATGGAGTATCTCAAGGCATGCCCCCTGCCCCAGTCTGGGCTGGGGGACCTCAGGCCACACCCCCATCCTGGTGCCAGGCCAGGGGACTTGAGGCTATGCCCCCTGCCTGGCAGGAACTTGACAAGGGTGGGACTGGCCCGGTCTGGATCCAGCTCAGTTGGCAGAGGAGGTGGGGCTGGTCGGGTCTGGGTCTCACGTGATTTTGAGGTGCATGTGGGCGGGTCTTGACTCTGGGTCCTGTGGTGTGCCCCCAACTCTGACAGGAGGAAGGTTTTCATATACATTTTACTAATTTTCTTTCATCTCTGACACTTCTATTATAGAGAAAGAGCAAATAGCAATATTAAAATATTTCCTCTAGACTTCTGATCCTCATAGCCAATTGGCTTGGAGAGCAACGCTTCCCAGTGATACCAACAACAAGCAAGGCTTAACAAAAAGACTGTACACACAGCCCACAAAGGGCTACACCAAGACTGTCCACCTCAGGTAACTGGGAGGCTGACTCACTGACTCATATAGGACACCTTAGCACACACAGCCACCCTACCAACTCAGGGAATCTGTGAAAATGCCGAGACAAGGAAATAGATCACAAACAAAAGAAATGGAGGAAAAGAAGAGATGGATGTAGAGTTCAAAACCACGCTTATAAGGTTTTTAAGAATTTCCTAGAAAAGGTCGATAAGACCTATGAGGAGATGAAAAGGGATCAATAAGAACTAATAAGGGATCAACAAGAAATAAATAATACAGTGTCTGAAATAAAAAATATTATACAGAGTCCTAAAACAGAATGGAAGATTGCAAGCATCAAGTCAAAGATTTGGAACATAAAGAACCAGAAGACACTCCTCCGCAGAAGCTAAAAGATAAGAGAATCCAGAAAGTTGAAGATAATGTAAGAAACCTCTGGGACAACTTCAAGCGAACCAACATCAGAATTATGGGGGTCTCAGGAGATGAGAAAGAACAAGATATCGAAAACATACTGAAAGAAATAGTGACAGAAAACTTCCCCCACCTGGGGAAAGAAATAGACTTACAAGTCCAGGAAGCGCACAGAACTCCAAACAAAAGGAATCCAAAGAAGACCACACCAAGACACATCATAATTAAAAATCCAAGAGTAAAAGACAAAGAGAGAATATTAAAAGCAGCAAGAGAAAAGCAGATAGTTACCTATAAAGGAGCACCCATACGATTGTCAGCTGATTTCTCAACAGAAACCATGCAGGCCAGACGGGAATGGCAAGAAATATTCAAGGTGATGAATAGCAAGAACCTACAGCCAAAAATAATCTACCCAGCAAAGCTATCACTCAGAATCGAAGACCAGATAAAGAGCTTCACCAATAAAAAAAAAGCTAAAGGAGTTCATCAGCACCAAACCAGAATTATATGAATTGCTGAAGGGGGTTCTTTCGGAAGAGAAAGTAAGTAAAGATAAAAAATATGAACAACAAATATGTAACTATCAACAAGTGAATCTAAAAAAAAATCTGATGAACAATATTAACTGGTGAATATAATAGAATCAGAGGTATGGAAGGGGAGTGAACTGATGATTCTTGGGGAAAAGGGGAGAGGGGGTTGTGGGAAGAGACTGAACATAAACTGTGCACCTATGGATGAGGACAATGGAGGTTGGGGAAAGGACAAAGGGTGGGGGGGAACCTGGTGGAGGAGAGCAATGGAGGAGGGGGAAATGAGGAACATTTGTAATAATATGAACAATAAAGATTTATTAAAAAAAATTCTTCTAATTAATTCCCTTTTAATGTGCACAAATTTCATGCACCAGATCACTAGTGTAAATAA